CATTGGCACAGCAGCATGCTCAACATGAGCATTGACTCGGTGCTTTGGCTCAAGGCGGCACAAACAAGATTGCTGAGTGAGTGATTGCATCAAGTGACTTTGCTGTGCATCTTGTGTATTCTGGATTGTGTGATCAAACCAGTCTGTGAACATTGATCTTGTAAAATTTCATTAAGGGGGGGCTTAAGGGGGGCTTAAGGGGGGGCTTAAGGGCTATGACCCTTTGCCCCCCCCCCCCCCCCAAAGGACCCCCTTTGCAGGGACCCCTTTGAAGGGGGGCTTAAGGGGGGCTTAAAGGGGGGCTTAAAGGGGGGCTTAAGCACCCCTTTGCCCAAAGGGGGGGGGCCCATTCTCGACTTGAAAGCAATCCACAGTTATTACAATGGATTCTTCTTGCAAGCGGGCGCTTGGAAGGAACTGCGCAATGCTAAGGCGCAAGAAACCCAAGAAACTAGGTACTTGCGGACGGGCGTTCCCAACGTTACACAGGCAAGCGAGCCTTGGCTTACTTAGCAACCTCATGATCAACTGCGGGCGCAGTTCTCAAAGCTTCAGGCAAAAGTGGTTGCAGCTGGTTGCAATGCAGCTTGCAATGTCGTCACTAAGTGCCATCCAGAGGGCAGGTCGTGCCCGTTTCCCCGGCATGTTAATGCCCAACTACCACTTTAAGCCACGCTGAGCGCAGACCCAGTAGCAAGGAAGGATGATCTCTAAATGGGTTTCCCAGCCCACTTGTATCCCAGAACCAGAGCCTCGCTGCGAGCAGACAATAAATAGAAGAAGCACCAGTCTTCTCCTCACTTTGAGTTGAAATAACTCCACATCATCTCCCACTATCAGCTTTTTCTCAGCAATCAAAAAAGCGACACTGTGGCTTTCGCGGAATTTTGATCTAGCTCTGAGCCTGAGCTTTGCACTGATTCCGTTTTGACGTGTTGTCACCAGTCGTGAATCCGAGCTCGTGCAGAAAGTTTTAATGGTCAGAGACCTCGTTCGTTTGTGTGTTACGTTTTTTCGCTTGTTTGGTGGCGAGTATCAATCTGTGATGTTGCCCAAAACGCTAGCGGCTGATTTAGAAACTTCGTTTGAAGCATTTCTGTGCACTTCGTGACTTTGGCGCAAGTTTGCAAAAAGAGAGCCGCCTCGCGTCCTTTGGTTGAGTGTAGGGTTTGCGCTTGCCAGGAAAAGGTGCCAAAGGGAACTTCGGTTTTTCACGAGCCCTCCGTGGGACCCACGATTTCCGCTTGCTCTCTTTCGTGGTGGCCACGCACCAAGGAATGCGGCCAGGGCGTTGCCTTAGTGTGAATGCCAATGAGGATTGGATTTCAAAGGTCTTTGAACTAGCTCTCAGCAGCTGTATGTTTCTGTTAGAATCCCGGGGAGCTCTCTGGAGATTCCATCCTGATGTTCACTAAGTGAAGGAAAAGGTCAGCTTCTTTCAGCTTGTTGTGGCAGGGCAAATCTCAGCTTCTCTCAGCTTGTTGTAGCTGTGGGCAAGTCTCAGTTCTCTTACCTTCTCTCAGTTTGTTGTGGCTGGGCAAATCTCAGCTTCTTGTGGCGAGCAAATCTCAGCTTCTCTCAGCTTGTTTGGCTGGGCAAATCTCAACTTCGCTCAGCCTGTTGTGGCTGGGCAAATCTCAAGCTTTTCTGAGCTTGTTGTGGCTGGGCAAGTCTCAGTTCTCTCAGCTTAAATCTCAGCTTCTCTCAGCTTGTTGTGGCTGGGCAAATCTCAGCTTCTCTCAGCTTGTTGTGGCAGGGCAAATCGTTGTTATCAAAGTCATTGCGGATCTGCTCAACACTTGATCGTGCGGTTGCGACTAAAGCGTTCATTGGCTTTGTTACGCCTTACGACAACATTTGCCATCAGTTGGACACTTGTCTCACTAGCCGAGGATGACACTCAAAGGCTGTATGCGACGTTGCGGCACGAATGAGGGTCAGTATGGACCATTGAAAAGATATTTCCGAGTTTTTACAGTGTCCCAACCATGGGGGTTTGGTCTTGATCACGTCGATGGTGACCGTCAAAAGCAACACTGAGAGGGAACCTCAGTGCTGCTGAAAGTCGGCAGGGAAAAGATCGTTTTGCGGATTACCTGCAGTCATCGTGCCTGCACGTAAGGCAGAGGTTGACCCGCTTTACATCCCACATTCAAGATTGTGTTTTTTGTGGAAGCAGCATTCCCTGCACCTACTACGCCATCTCTGTGTGCACGAGGCTTTTTGACCTGAAGTTGACCAGACGACGTGCCGGGTCACGTCTGTCGAGCTTGGCGTCCGTTCGGTTCAAATTGAAGCGTCGGTCTTTGGCCGGCCAAGCGCTGAGCACTCCACTCCGGGTTTGTGTTTTAACGGGGGGTCCTCGTCCCGTGGAGCAGACAAGAGGAGGCTCATCCAGGACGACTCCCAAGCCCACCAGGGCTCCGATTAGTGTTCCGGAGGGTTTGTGCGTCGTGAATTTTATCTGGGTCAATGCGTGCGTCCCACAGCGCCATTGGCTTCGGGCTGGCGTTCCGTAAAACAAAAAGCGCCGACTGTGTGGGGTCTAAACGTGCCGTCACGCATGACCCCGTCCCGGGAACATGCCCAGGGAGTGGCGGTTGTCTCCATTTGCTGCTCCTGGTTCATGACTGCCGTTCGACCGAGGTGAGGTGTCGTTGGCATAAAAGCATCTAGGACGGCTAAACGCCGAATCTTCTCAATCTCCCACCTGGCCGTGAAAAGCGTGTCATGGTCAAGCAGTACCAAGTTTGCTGTCGGTGCCAAAACGCGGATTACGGCCAGGAGTTCCGGACCCAGCCCATGTGAAATGTGTCTTTTGCATACCGCAAGACTCACAAACACTGGGTCCCAGATTTCACCGAAGGGCCTCCTCCATTGCAGCTGAGCTGTCAAGTGTTGCAGAAAGTGGGGGAGGTGTGGTATGGCGAGCCAGCTGCGGGTATCAGCCATGACAAGGAGAACTGTGGCATCAGCGGCTGCACTATTCAATTGCAGGAACACTTGTAGCATTGTGTCATACTCGACTGCACGATGGAAGCCGGATGGCAGATGTCAGGCTACCCGAACATATTGCCCGCAACGGCAGCCATGTGCAAAATGCCTATTCCTCTCCGAATAGACTGTTTGCCCTGGCAAAAGTGGCTCAGCCAGATCCTTCTTTTGTGTGGCAGGTGCTGGCCCTTTTTATATACATCGAGACAGCTTGGATGCTTATCTCCTGCTTTACAAAGCTGAGAAGACGGGCTTGGAATGCTTTGGAGATGCGTGCTTCTTGTTTTTACTGATTTCAATTCTTTCACAACCGTTGTCTGGAATGTACTGAGAGCGTCTTGAGCGTGGGAATCCGCGAAGAATTCTGTCCTACCCGACATGTGCTGGTTTAACTAACTTGTTTCACAGTTTTAGACTCTCAGACAGCTCATGGCGATTCCGTCTTCATTATTGCCTGCCTCTGCCGTTGTGATGTTGTTTGGTTCTTGTGTGGGCTGTTTGCATTGCGTTTCTTTTTCTGCAACAGCACACTTCTGCCAGGCTTGCCAAATGGGCTAAAAAGGAACTCCGGTAAAAGTTAGCGTGATTATAAGTGCGATCTTCGTGGAAGCAGTGCATCCCTCTAATGGCAGCGATGAGAGAAATTCTTTTGGACACACTGACAAAGGGTTTTCCAAAGGATTTAGAGTTACTTTTGGCGGCGCAGAAACAAGCTTAAGGTTTCCTTTGGATCTGGATGAGGGATCGTGTAACCAAACAAACTTGCATTCTTTATTACCAAGGGACAGTTTGCGTGCAGCAATCGGACCATTTGCTGGTAGGCCTTTTTAATGCGCCAGTATCCCACTGGGCTGATCGGTGGGCATCATGGGTCGGTGACCCCTGAACGGTCTTTGTTCCTGTGACATCTTCATGCGATGCCGCCTCTGCAGACGTGCCGACTTAAACCCTCTTGCATCTGCCTGAGTGCCAGAGCTTGAACAGCGAATCTTCTTCGATGAACTGATACCTGTGGCAGTTGCTATCGACAAACACTAGGGGAAGACATGGCTTGTTCTTTGTGGACAATGGCGGCTAGATGAACGCCGCGGCTATTCCGATGGATTTGCAGGCTAATGTGACGTCCGACGTTGTCAATTGGTACTCGTGTGTACCGTCAAGACCGTTGCCAATGATGCTTTCGCTTCAGCTTCGAGAGGTATCAACGTTCCGAAGAGTTGACCCAGATATCTCCAGCATCACGTAGGCATGGGGGAGGCGGTGGAGGTGATGTGCCCGACGAGTAGAAGGGACGAGGTTGCATGCCAGGCACCGGACTTTCACCCATCGTGCGAGTGTTTTTTGCCAGAGCAGCGACAGGTGAAGCACATTTTTTTGCCAAGGGCTGGTTGACATATCAAAAAGCTTGATCGTTCATTTCAAGTTTGGGGTTTGATGTGGTTTTTGGGTGAGCAATACAGCTTTTCATGCACGTTCGTGCCCCTTCTCCCAAGCATTTCTGGAATGTTTTGATCTTTCAATTTCAGCTTTTTTTGAGCGAGCATATCTGTTCCACTGGGAAAATAGCTTGTGCATGTGGCTGCTGAGCTTACAGTAGCCATGTTGCAACACGCGTTGCGTCTAGGTGCTGCTGTTGGGTGCGCTGCAACTGAACATGTTGAATGAAGCCGGCCAATCAGCAAGCATTCAAAAAGGTTCCACAAGTGCCAGCAAAAGTGTCTCGCAATTTCTCACCGATGCAAGCTTCATTTTTTGGTGCGTGAAAACAGAGCCTCGAAGAACTTCTACTGCGAAGCTGTGATTTCAGCTTTGCCAGGCTTGGGCTTACCGGAGGTGTGCTGGGATGCGCTGGGTGCAACCAACTCAGTTCAGGTCGCAAGGCAGATGGGCCGGATGGTTTCAGAATGCACATACATCATGTCAGACACCGGATCTTCTGTCCCTCAAGCACGAAGGTTTGCAAAATTTAAATTGCCATAGGCCTTGCTAGGCAAGGCAGCTTGCCCATGGTGGGATGGAGAACTCTTGGCATCTTGCTAGGGTATGAGATCCTTTGGCATGGGGCCGGTGCAAGAGTCGCTGGCGAGTCAATCAACGACTTGACAGTTGCCGAGCCCGTAACTGCCATTATACTTGGCACCTTGGGAGCACTGGGCTCGTCATATTCCATACGGAAGTCGGTGGAATCGCGCCCTGATCGCATTGTGCCCGCCGGCAATCACGTGACTTGCCTCGTGTCGTGTCTAACTTGCAAGCCTCTCCCGTGCCTGAAGGCTGGTCAGCAACAAGAAGCAAGACGCCGCAGCGGTGAAGCTCGTCCAGGACATGACAGAGACTTCCGAGATGCATTGCAGGCTGCTCGGCGACATCGATGCCATGCTCTACGCCGCGCAGCTCGGCCTTGAGGAGCTTCTCCAACATGACCAGGCGGAGCAGCAGGCGCCTTGACTTCTGCATCTCTGAGATATTTCTTACATCCCCAGCAGGGGCTAATTTGTGTGTATCTCTTCCTGCTTCAATTGTTTTATAAGGTGCGGCAAGCGTGTGCAGACGAGCGGAGAATGCAACACATGCAAGACACCATGGCGCGAAGCCTTCAAGACGAGTGCTCGAAGCTGGAGCTGCCCTTCTCACCAAGAAAAGCTCTCTCTGTTGTTGACTTCTTGGATCTGATGTGTTCCTACTTCTTGCATTCTGCCCTGGAGGACGCCATGGAGTTTCCTGCGCAGCTCGCAGAGTGCAGGTCCTTTGCAGCAACATCAGCAAGCACGATACACAGTTCTGCCAGTCGGATCGGTCGGAGGTAAGACGTCGCATCGCCTTGAAAGCTGGCAGTGGTTTCACCAATCTGAGGAGTCATCTCCCAAAAAACTGGACATACCTGGAATGCGGCCAGACCTCGCTGGAGGAAGCCTGGTCACATCGACTGTTCTTAGCCAAGTTGCGGCGATTTCGTCTCGACGCCCTCCTCTCTAGACGCTTCGGGTGCATGGCATGCTATTTTCCGTAGCTTGCTGTTACTTGCATCTGAGCCTCAGCTCATTGAACCTCCATCTCCTCCCGTCTCCCAGGCTGGTGTGACGTCACGGCGGGATTCCAGCGCCGTGCGCCGAAAGCAACAGAAGCGCTCCTGGGCTCACCGGTATCACAAAGCTCCCTCGGTCAAGGCCCGTCCGTCGTGAGCCAAGGACTGCTGCACCACATTTTGAAAAAGTCGGAATGCTTTTTGTTCGGCTGACAGGCCTTCATGGGCGCGGGCAGGCACAATTCATTGGTCTTTTCGGTCTGGCAACATCGACACTGGGCCTGGTAAGCTTTGCCTTTTCCTTGCATCTCGGCTCTGCAGTGCTGTGCAGTGCAGCGTCTCACGTGATGTCCTCGCGCCACCCTCGGAAGCAGGGAAGGCTTTGCCCTGTCCTCGCACCACCCTCAGAAGTAGGGAAGGCTTTGCATGGCGTTGTGTCTGGTTGACCAGTATAGGTTAGCCTACGTGTTGCATCACGTGAGCCCTTCGGGTTTGCAGCGCGCAGCATGCAGGTACGAGTCTGAAGTCGGCGAGAAGCGCGGCTTTGGCATCCTGTTTGATTTCCTGCAGACCCAGCACGCAGCTCAGCGGAAGCGGCTTTGCCAGGATCTCACCCGGCACTGGCTGCAGGCCAGTGAGATTTATGCGTGGAGTCTATCAATGAGATCGGACCTCTACTTCCAGAATGGTTTCATCGAGCCGTCGGATCCATCTGCCTTGGACACCTGGCCCCTGGAGACCCGAAGCAAGTGGGCCTGCGTCCAGTCTACGCGCTGCCTGGTTCCAATGGCTCCAGGTGAGGTCGCAGACCCTGCTTACCCCAAGCAAGCTGGGGCGTGTCGAAGCGGCTCTTTCTTTCGTGTGTGTGGGAATGGAGGCTCAACCGTGACAACCATGGTCCCTCTCGCGTGCTTCTCCGTCTCCTTTGCCAAGCTCAATGTCCTTTCCAGACGTTTCTGGACCCTGACGTTCCGGTCCAAGAACGATCAAAACGTTGACCCAGGAGCAATGGACCATGATTACAATGCCTCCGAGTGCAACAGGCCTCTGATACAGTTTATTGAGGGTTACCGTTCATTGGAGCAAGCCCGTCGAAACCTTCAGCAAGCGTGCAGGAACACAACTGCAGATTAGACCTCGGGCTTTCTCCAAGCGATGCCAGCTGAAAAAGCGCGCGGTTGTTGCTTCGGAGTTTGCCAGCCCATTCTCACATCACAAACTCCCCCTCTATCCCTCGGTGCAAGAATAGAAACATGAAGGTTATAAGAGTCTTTTGCTGGTGCTGTATGGTGGTGCTACATGGAATCCTCACAGCTCCGCAAGCCCTGCAAGCCACAAGGCCGGGAGCGCCGAAGCCACAAAAGCCCTGAAGGCCTGAAAACAAGTTCATAAAAGCAGTCAGGTCGCCGAAGCCCATATCAGACCCGAAACCAAAGCTGAAGCACAAAGAGTCACCTGATAACTCGGACGGAACAGTTGAGACCGGAATTTGCAATGCAAGCCGTCCAACTTCACGTGGCGCAGGTTCGTGTACCGAGGTTCGTTTGCTTGATTGTTGATGCGCGAGCGTGTGAGGTAGCTTGGCTGCAGCTGCCGCAGCTGTTTGAACGAGGAAGAGCTGCAGCAACGCGTGCCCACGCTTTCGCAGGATTTGCCCTAGAGCGCCAAAGCCTTTGGATGTGATGACGTTTGATTTGCTTCTTCACAAACGAAAGGTCCATGAAGACAGCCTGCATCGATTTCTTTGAAGTTTTCCTCGTTCAGCTGATCAAGTTGTTCCAAATTCGAGAAAAGCTTTGAAGACATCATAGCACTCCGACGGAAAGCCGCTTGGTTTTCAAGCTGCTCTTCTGTCATCTGCATTGGCCTCAAACTCTTTTCAACAAGCGGGGAATCTCGCACTCATCGCCAGTGAGAGGGGCTCCTTCAATCAAGAAAACAATACAACAAGTCGCTGAAGCCGGTCTCTTCAAGGTAACTCCTTAAAGATGCCAATCGTTTTTTCCCGTTTCACCTTGCAGTCCCTTCTTGCTCGCAAAGATGCATCGCCACATTCAAGCTCATCAATACACTTGTTCAGATTCTGCAGAGCAATCAAACGAAGTCAAACGAAGCTTGCGGATCCTTGGTCGATGGTCAGAAGACTAGAGGGCGACACTGGGCAGTTCTGCTGTACTTAGATTGCTGGATGGTGCGTTGCTTTGTCATGCTTGTCCATGTCCCGGCTCTCAGTAGCGAGGAGGGTGTGAAAGCCACCTTGTAGACCAGAAATCGCATTGTAGATGGAGAACTGCTGTGCTGTATGCCCTCTAGCCCTGTGCTGCAAGCCCTGAACTGGGAAGTAGTGCTCACTGAGACTCGGACGTAGACTTGCAGGTGTAGAACAAAGTAGACGTGTATGGCCCTCTCTGCGACAATGCCACGCTACTCGCAGCCATGTTGTTGCAGAGCCATTGGCCAAGTTTCTCTGCACCATGGCACGGCTTGAAAAAACATCTCAGTCAAAAGTTGCTTGCGCAGGGGCAGCTTCTCCTCTTTGCCGCTGGTGCATTGGCACTACTGTGGCCGGCCGAGGCAGGAAGCCCCCACGAAATCAGGTCCTGACGACCAGTGTTTGTGAAACTAGGACTCGAATCCGAGTGCAGGCTTCTTGGGTTGTCCACTGCAACCTGGACTGTGATGGGGCTTTGGACTGAGACTTCCACGGCAAACTCATTGCGCATGATGTGATGCCCATGACTGTTGGTGTGGAGCACTGGGTTGACAGGATCCTTTAATCCTCATGACAAGGCCCCCAAATCGAAGCCCGTGAGGTCGTAAAAGTAAAAGAGCTGCGAAAACAATTGTGCAAAATTAATTTGAATACAATCAATTGGATCCTGGTCCGTGGGGTGGGTTTTTGTCTCGGCCGCATAGGTTTGCATAAGCGCTGTGTAGGTCTTCTTCGGTGTAGGTTTGCGTTTGCGCACGCTGTTTCGAAGAAAGCTCCTGGCTCCAATCTGTTCTTCTTGGTGGCTCTTTTGGGTGTGAAGCACGCGAAGGTTTTACAGTCTGCTGCCCAGGCAAATAAATCCCTTGTTGAGTCTGCACTCACGTCGTTGGTGCCATACTGCTGGAACCATCTCCGCCAACTATCTTTGAACCTTTGCTGGGGCCTGGTATGTGCTTCTTTACCTAGGGCTCGATGCAGCGCATTTTCGCGAACTTTCGCTTCTTAAACACCTGCCGCATAAACTACAACCCCTTACGCGGTTTGCGCAAGTTGGTGCATGGGCTTTTGCTTCGCGCGAGAGCCCTCTCTATAGAATTTTCTTCATGAGTCCCTGAGCTGAATCCTGGAACGAGGTCAACAGCTGCGAGGACAAGCAGGTCTGTAGCGGCCAGATGGTCGGGTTTCCAAGGGCCCGGCCTCGACCTGCGGGGTTGAGAGCGCTTGGGTACTAATAGGTTGGGATGTTCCCCCTTATATTAAGAGTCCTTAATAGGAATTATCATAGGGGGTACTATTGTCCCTATGAAGGACTGTTAGCATATAAGCCCTCCACATGCAATGTATTCCGCAAGCATAGAGCTGCTGAGTTTTTCGTGGAATTGCTGTTGTGTGAGTGATTATGAGCTAGAATCAGCTAGAGGCTCTCTGACTTTAAGCATCTTGTTGATACTTTTGTTGTCAAATACGCAGAAATGGCCTCGCCAGCATGTCCTCCCTCGACCCTCTGCCTCGGGCATCGGGTTTGCTGTTGACTGATCGTGTCTGATCGCCTTCAACTCCGACTGAGAGACTCTGATCCCTAGCGCGTAATGGCTGTGCAATGCTGTGCAAGGTAGAGGAGGGCATTTGCCCAAATCAGCAGCCCTGCCTGCACCTCAGCACAAAATCGTGCGCCGTCACCTGCGCCGTCCGGCCGAAAGACCCGAAAGCGCGCTGGAGAACTTTGAGCTCGGACGGGCGAGGCTTACATGAAGATGAGTTCAACTGCATGCCGGTCGACTGCAAGCCGGGTCCTTGGCGACGGGATGTCGACCGCAGGGTTCAAAGCCCCAACGAAGATCACGAGCGATGAAGTGCACCCTCAAGGCCCTCAAGGCCCTCTTACGCTTCTGTGACATTCTGAGTGCCATTCGCAGGTGGAGTGAGTGGCGGGACTGGGAGAACGATGGCATCTCCGGCCTTTGCACTCGCAAGAGGCACGTAAAGTTTGAACATATCCATGAAAGTGGAAGTGCGTTGCAGCATTGCAGAGCTCGGCACAAATGTCACAGGTACTTCAGCCCACCACTTTGTGGAGGGAATCAATGCTTGGGGACCATGGCAGACTCCATGTGACCTGTATCTGATACATGCTGCGTTTATCGTGGCTCCTTGTGGCCCACTGCAAGACTGCAAGTACTGGGGGGTCGGGGGGGGGGGGGGGGGGGGTGATGTCTACAACTACGGCTGTCAGTAGGAACTTGCGGAGAGCTGCGGAGGGACAGCTTCCCAGTACGGCCCTACGAAGAAGATCGCAAACCTATAGGTACTGCGAACCTGGTGTTCATGCCCCGAGGGACTGCGAGCCTCGTCCTCAGAGCACCTAAAGGTGCTAAACTTCTTTCTCGCAGTCAGGCGCCCAAGGGCTCCCTACAGTCGGCGATCCAAGGTTCGCCACGTGGATGGACTGGTCCGCCTGCAATGCGAGCACGCTGCAGAGGCCGTAAAATCGCAGTGGGAAAGACGAGGGCAACGCAAAGAGAACGCCAAGAGATCATCATTCCTTTGTGCTTCTGTGCTTTGCCACCTTTCTGTGAGGTCGCGCGAGCGAGTTGTGCAGCAGGAGCCCTCACATGGAGGAGCACCCTGCGAGGCACATGGATAGCGCGTCGTCTGACAGTCTGACAGTCTGACACCTGAATCACGTGACGCTTGTCGTTCCATGCATGCTCGAATCTTTGGTGATTGCTATGTCTGCCAGGGGCCGCTTGTCACAACGGAGCCATGTGGGGATCGAAAGCCTCCGGCCCTCCACTCAGCTTCGCCCTGCAGGGAGCTTTTGCCTGTTGCTCAAGACGATGTGGGGTCACTGCGCTACGTCTTCTTAACTGTATCTTTGTTGCTTCGCACCAACCCTGCCGGGCCCACAAGTAGCAACATAAGTCAACATAAGCCGTGAGCTGAAAGTTTCACAGATTTGACCTCGGTTTCTTTCGCTGTCCAGCAAAAGTTCAGAGGTCACCCCTTGCCGGGATGGAACTTCCTAGCATGCTCTCGGCTGTTGGATGTTCGTCCACAGCATCCTGAATGTTGCTCTTGCTGCTGCTGCTGCTGCTGCTGCTCTGCTGTTGCTGTTGTTTTGTTGGTCATGGCAAAGACCTCCAATCTACTTCAAGCAATAAGGTATCTCCTGGCAAGCAAGAGGCATTGCAAAGGCAGTTCATTGGCACCATTCCCTTCTTGTACTGAGCACGTGGCAATAACCTCCAACGGGTACCGCAGAAATAGTCCATGCAGAAGTACAACGACCCCGGAGGTTGCCTCCTAGGGCATGCGTACCTAGGGTCGCGCAACCGACAGCGCAGCCAGTTCAGGCCGCCTGTGTGCTGGGTGATTGGATGCGTTGGAGCGGCTGCACACGGGAGCCCGGAAGCCCAGACCGGCCCGGACCGGCCCAGACCAATTTGCGCCTGAGCCTGTGGGGTTTAGAGTGAGACCCTTCAGTGTACGTCGAAAGCTCGCCTGGAGCAGCTTACGCCCTCCAGTTGCAGGTGACTCTGTCTTGCACCTACGCATTGCATCTTGAGAAGCCTGCTAGGTGTGGCGGTGGCCAGCAGTTTCGCGTACGGGCCATTGCTCAGGAGGCCTTTCTCTGGCTTCTGTCAGTCTGTCAGTCATGGCCTTCAGAGAGACATCGGAACACATGGGAACTTGCGAGTTTCGAGGCAGCAGAAGGCGGAAAGCTCTGCGAAGGCGAGGATGGAAGGCGCCCAAACCGCAAGGTAATGTTTACAAAGATCTGCTGCAGGCACAGCTTGTTTGCAACCAGAAAGCCCAACCGAAACCAGAACCCCTGCTGTGAAGAAGCTTTGTACTTGTACTTCTCCTGCGTCGCCTGAAGACCAGGCCTCTGGTCCTGCAGTCGACGCGGCCCTGCAACGTCGACATCGCGTGCGAGGGAGAACTCGTGGCCAAGGACCCGTGTCAAATTGACCCGGTCACGAGATGCCTTGGAGATGCAGCTGTGGATGCAGGACTGTGTCTTGTCAGATTGGAATGATTGGCAAGCATCTCAGCCTGTTGTGCGCATGGATCAGTCTTTTCAGCTGAATCTCGTGCAGCTGCGCAGAATGCATTGCCAGGTCTGTCTGCGATCCTGACACGCCTGAACGTGCCCGACAGAGATACCGTTCCCGCTCCATCTCCGAACCAGGTGCATGTCTTGAGAGTCGCGAGATCATGTCCATGGCTACTCCCCCCTGACTCGGCAGAGTGCCCCGACGGGTGATCCGCCTATCGCTCGTCGCTCCTCCCCAATGAGTCCCCGTGCAGCTGCGGAATCCACAGCAGCCCTAGGAGCCAACCCAGGAAAGGAAGCTTTCTTGCCACAATTTCAGTGATCTTTGATGTATCCGTAGCATCTGAATCTGGCCACAACTTCAAAAGCTATCGGCGGTCAAGCGGTCATAAGCGGTCATGCTTCAAAGAGCACTGGATTTGACATGACATCAACATGATTTTCTCTGGCCTGAGATGGTGTATGATTGGGCTGCCTTCTGTGCAGGCGCAAATGGTGGTGCGCCTTGCACTGACCCTCTGCAAGAAACGCAGGGCTGTGAGGCGGGCAGTCTGATGCAAAGCCCGAATACGGAAGTTTAAGTCGAGGTAACCATGAGTCGGATCTTCCGGCTCAGAAAACTCGAACTCTGCAACGACAGCATTCGTAGTTTTACTTGTGCATGTGCTGCCCTTTGATGCAAGCGTGGTATATGATGGCGAATTAGATATTTCTAGATTGCGATAGCTCAGAGGTGGCATGTCAGCTCACGCTTTGCCTCTACCCCTGATCGCCTTGGGCAAAGGAATCGCACATCTTGCCACCAGTTGACTGCAAGCAGTGAGCTCAATGTCTGTGCGTCTTAGACATGTGACATGCTGTTTGCAGCGTCTTCCTTTGCCTTTTCGCTTCTTGCACACGCGCTGTGAACCTTGAGCTCTGGAACAAGCTGATGTTGAAGCCATGCCTTTGCAAGCAGCAGCTCAAGTATCACACCGGGCACTGCTCTTCCTCACCGTTTGTACAGCCTTCCCACCACGACGTCCTGAGGCTCTCGGCCTGGTCAGCGTGGAAGCTCTGCGACAAGACCTGCGAGGGGGGGCAGACCGTGCGCACCCGGACTGTCGAGGCAGGGCACAGATTTGATCCTGGGACGGGTGTGTTGGTGTGTTTACCCCGAACACGGTTTACCCATGTGTACCCTGTAGAGCTGTCGCGGGGGGGGGGGGGTGTTCGGTGTGTGTGTGTGTGTGTGTGGGAGCACCAAGGCCAAGGGCAGGATTTGAGTCACGCCTAGGCTCATGACGCGAAGCGTCCTCTTTGCATGACAGCTGGCTATGCCCACAGCGGAGACCAATCCAAAAGTTAAAAATCCCGATCACTTGTTGTGCTGTCTCGTCGCCGCAAGGTCGAGGCAAAGAGGGGTGGACGGCCCTGCCAGGACAGGCTGTTTGCAATTTTTTTCCGAGGGCTTTGCAAGCCCGTTTTGCTGGAACAGTGGATCTGGTCAGTGGCCATCAGTGGCCGCTTCCGGGTAGATAGCTAAAGTACGGTCGGCACGGAAAATGCAGAGGATGCAGGTTTATGCAGCATTGTAGGGTGTAACCAGGAGCCTACCTCAGCTTGCCTAAGCCAGGACTCGACGCTCGAGACCATGCCCTGCAACGAGATCCCCTGTGAGTTGGATCCTCTTGGGAGGCCGCAGCGCAAGTGCGACTGAGAGGGACGAACTGGATGATGCTAGCCTATATATTTCGCATGGTGCGTAGCGCAAAGTTGGTCGCCGAGTTCAGTCTTTGTTGGCTTCATGTCACAGCCAGTTTTGGTCAGAAGCTCCCACACCCCGTACTTCGAGCCCAATTATTCAGTTCAAGAAGCTAGCGCGCTCCACGAAGCGCACCTAAAGCCTAGATGCTGACTAGGCGTCCCCTGTTCTCAGATGCAACTTGCCTCGTGTGTCCAGGGACTGCCAGCTGTCGCTCTGGACCTCCTGGACGGACTGCTCGGCCTCATGTGGACAGGCACGTTGTTCAGAGGAGCGTTAAACACTAGCGGTGGGCAATTGTAGAAGCTTGTCGAAACTGCTCAGGCAGCAGACTCAGCAGACTGCAACAGACATCCACATGACAATCTTTAGATCAGTCACATACCGTTCGTGCAGCCATCAGATGTTGGAAAGCTATGAATCCTTAACCCACAGCCACCTCAATGCCATGCCAGGGCATCCGGAAGCGAAGCCGGGAAGTTCTGGCCCCTCCACTGGCGGGAGGTAGGGGTCCCAACTGTGAGGGCTTCGCTGCACACCAAATGTGGTGGTGTGATACGCGCTGTCAGAGCTGCTTCAGTTGCTATCGCCTCGGCCTGCTGGCTCCCCGGCGCAGCTTGTCGCACTGTGGGAGCTTGGTGCCCAACCCTCCTAATCACCAAGCCTTGAGCAGGCGAGGTAAACCAAGCCAGCGCGTGGTGTGCAAAAGCGCCGAAATCTGGTCACAGAAAAAGAGCCAACTGTCAGCCTCAACGGCCGAGATCTGTCGGAGAGGTGCTATAGTTTTGACAGACTTGCACGTCCTGTGCTATGACTGACAGGAGTGAGCGTGATCTGAGCCTCATCCGAGCGAAAGGTTGAGTGAAGGAGTGGATCGGGAGGGAGGGCTTGACATCCCTTCGCGATTCTCGCTTTTACAGTCCGCGCACCTTGGTCAGCCATGCTGGGTTGCCCCGAGATGCAAAGAAGTGTTTCTGACGCCCGCTTGAGAGCATCAACATGTGCCATTCCATGCACAGGAAAGCGTTGTAGTGGTAGATTGCTTGATGCTCCTCTCTGCGCAGGCAGCAGGAGATCCTTTCAGCTGTTCTTGTTTCTGCGTGTCAGCGTATTCCCAACCCCCCTGAGTCGCAGTCTCGACCTTAGAGCTCCACACCCGAAACATGCAATCCTGGATCCCGAAACCCTCCGAGATGCTATCTGTGTATCTCGGTCTCGATCCCAATCCTACCCCCTCAGTCCGTTGAACTCAGGTCGTGGCTGCAGCGCCATCCTCGAAGAGGTTGAGCAGGGTTTGCAGATGTTTGCAGGTTTGTTGTGTTGGGAGGGTTGGAGGGGGGACGGCGGAGGTTCGGACGGACGGTGGGTCTTGCACGCTTCAGGGTGAAGTCTGCTCTTCTTCAATGACCCTTCTACAGGGCTGGGCAGCATCTTTCTTTGGTGGCGTGTTGATCAAGTTTCACAATATTCTCGCAGGCCATGGGGTGCATCCAGGCGACCTGCAATTCAGAGGACTGTGCCTGGAACTCAGATGTGTCGGCAGTTGTGTTCACGCTTTGTGACTTTGCAGGTAAAGTCAGACCGTGTTGCAAGGGCGCCACGATTGAAATAATCAGGATCCTTGTTGATAGGTCATGCCACTCCGGTGCTCGACGATTGGCTCCCAACATTGCTATGTTTCAATATGCTCGTTCGAGCTGGGTGTTGGCCACAGCTTCGACCTCCACCCATGACCTGCTTGTGGGGATGGATATGGCTTCTGCCATCTTCCCCTTTTGTGGCTATGTGAGGGCTGAAAGCTGGATGAGGGATCTGTGGAGAAGCGTATTGGCCATAATTGGCACGCTGCCGGGCATAGCCCGACGCAGGGGCGATGTTGCCTGCCTGGCCTGGTACCCTCACGGGGACTTTCTGGGGAAGAGCCATATCTCATGCACCTCCGCGAGGATGCCAGTTGTCTTTTCTATGCCAGCTTGCTCGTAGCGGGCATGCTTGGTTGTTTGTGTGCAAAGGCAGTCAAGCCCTCTTGCTTAACTGGGCAGTGCAAGTCTTGGAACGCTGATGCCGGGGTGTGGGCTGGGGCGTTCGCAAGTGTGAACTCCAAGTGGAGGGACCAGTGCTTGCGAAGCACCCTCAAAAGTCGGGAGGGATTGGGGCCTTACAAGCCTTGAGGCGCATCCCCCCCAACTCGCTTACTCGCCCACTCACTCAATGTGCACGCTCTCATAGCCTTGAGCTAAAAGACTGTAAGCTGAGCTCTTGATACTTTTCTTGAACACCCATGCCCCAGGTGTGGGGCACTTGGACCAGCTGGTCGTCCTGCAGCCGGACATGTGATGGCGGACAGAAGAGGTGTCCGGAAAGTGCGTTGGGTGGTGTTTGTGGATCTTCAAGGTGCAGACTAAGAGATAGAGTAAGTAAATGCAAAAAGAATATGTAGCCACAGGAATTGCCAGGTCTTGAAGCTGTGGTGCATTGCGCCAGTAGCACACCGGTCTTCCTTGAATCCTTCACCGTTCACGCTTACGCTTCATGCGGGCAGACGGCCGGGTGATTGAGCTGAACTCCTGGAGCTAGAGCGGCTTCAGCCTTCATTGGACACTCCTACATCTTATCTGTAGCCCCTAAGCCCTCGGTTGCTCAAAAACTTGAGGCTCTTTGAGTCCCCACCTGTCCCAGAATCCGAGTGGTCTAAGAGCCACATCCGCGAAAGCCTCATAAGATCCTCATCAGACCATCTGCTGCTCTTCTGCCAGTCGCAATCGCACGGTCTTCCTGCCACCATCCCCGGGTCTGAGCGCTCGGCAGGGTTTTGCTTTGTGCGCCAGGGTTTGGAGTTTCAAAGTCGGGGTTTCTATCGAAAATGGGGGGTACCCTTTGTGGGGGTCCCTTTAAAGGGATTCTATTCTACTTGGTACGCCCCATTTTGGGAAATACCCTGTTCATTATCAAATTTTACGGCAATGTCCCCTTGTCGCTGCTGTAATTGGGTTAATTGGGTTAACATGCAATCCGAAGCGCTTAGAAGGCGCAAGAGGTCGGTTTGTAAGAGGCTGTCATGCAGGGTTTCCCAGACATTCGGACTGTTGCGCGTCGCACTCATGAAAGTGTCTAGGCTGCCTGGCCAATGGGCGCTGAGGTGGCAAGCCTTGCAAAGCTCTCGACAGGCGATGCGTTGACAAGCTCTGAACGCCCCCGGAAGTGACCAACCACATGGACCTCCATGCACGCCCCGATGTGGCAACGTTGCATCTCCTGCAAAAACGTAGGTCCGAAGGGATGCGTGAGTAGGGCTGGCCGAGCATTCCAGTGCTTTGTTTGCTGCAGTGTCAGCGAAATCGCGAGCTGCGGCACAATGTCCCTTCCTCAGTGCGCTTGTACTTAGGAAAAAATGTCGGTTTCGGGCGTATTCTTTGCATGTTCACAAAGGCCCTGCTCCTCGGCGAGCTGCCAGGATGGCGTCTGGCATGACTGGGGAGAATGGGGCCAGTGCTCCAGGCTCCCGTTTCCGGCAGGATTTCAAACTCCAAGGGCACCCAGAATCACCGGAGCTTCCAAAGTGAGGGTCTCTCGAGTTCCAGCTTTGCCTTACAGGAATCTCCACGCGCACTATACTTGCAAGACATCAGAGGAAGGGGAGGAGACAAAGAAACGAATAGGGGTACCCCTTCAAAATCCCCCCTCCCAAAAAAAAAAAGTACCCACCCCCATGTCATTCTTACTGCAGGGCCTGCGCGGGCGGTGTGCGGTGGCGCCACCGGAAGGTGGCCCTTGAGGCCGACCTGGATCGTTTAGCTGCGAAGCACCGAGACATACCGAGACCCCGAGCTTTGATTTACTTTTTGACTTCAACTTTGCCCAGCAGATGCACGGGCGTCAGAGCTTGGTGTCTTGATTCGGCGAATTTGTATAGCTGTTTCTCTCCCAGAGTTCTTGTTTCTGACGGCGGGCCATTGCTCAGCCATTGCTCGGTCAACCAAAAGTGGTCTTAGTCCAGCGAAATCGAGAAATCGCACCAGTGTCGCTCCCTCACGTCGCAGTGCGATGCGCGATGCGTCTCCGCATGTGCTGTCCAGGCAATGGACTGTGGGACTCCAGCCGTCGGCCCGTCCCAAGCTGAGAAGAAGCTCTGTCAGGTCGTAAGACTCACCATCTTGTCTTGAACTTGGATGATGCTAAGGGCAATGGAGCTGCAGCAGTGCAACGACTGGCCCTGTGAGGACTCCGAAAGTATGTTCAGGCTGGGCTTTCTTGAAGAGAGGCAGGCCTGCGGGAAATGTGCAGGAAGATCGCGATTGTCTCATGAGCACGTGGACGCATTGGAGCAACTGCTCAGCCAGCTGCTATGGTCTTGGCCTTGAGCAGTCAGAAGGTTGTGCAGCCCCTCTCGGTGAGGAATCCTCCAGCCTGCCATCTACTCAGGACAGCAGCAGCGCAAGCGCCGCATCGTCCAGCAGGGCAGTGGCAGCGGCAGCTGGTGCGGTACTCAGCACAGGATGGGTTCTTTCAGTGCTTGTTTTGCTTGTGGGGCACACGGCAGCTGTAGGTGCACAGATCCCGATGAGCAGCCTGCAGCACTGGAGGAATCACGGCCATGCAACGGACCACAGGACAACTCCCTGCAGGTTGCTTGATACCAGCTTGATATCTTGCTGCATGCGCGCCTTTCTTCAACCTTGTCTTCTTTGAACGCGGTGACAACATCGCAAGCCACGTCGAAAATGTATTGAGATCCGTATAGGATTTGATGGGGCATAGTCTTTCGGAATCCCCTTAGTCCTTGGTCAAGCGTGTGCACCATGGCCATGGCATATGTGGTTGCGCACCCAATGTGGGAAAACGATTCCGGAAAGATCGCAGGATTTGCTAGTCTGGAGAACAAATCAGAGACCAGCCTGCGCATCAGAAACCTGCAGCATCAGAAACTGCGCATCGCTAGACCGGGTACTGCATAGAAGCAAGCGGAAAAGTAACGCTTTGCGCCACACTGTCTGGGAACGTCAGCTCCTGTTGTCACGTGCCAACAAGCAGGAAGCAGATGCCGGCAAGATCAAGGACGGACCAGCTCTTTGTGGGGTATCCTTGCCTTTCTGGCGGATGCTGGGCCGCGTCTCAATGCCGAGTCAAACGCACCTCGGGCGATGCCAAGGTTTACCTTCCCAGTGCATGAGCACTGCACGTCTTTTTGAGATTTGGAAGCTGGAGATGCAGTTTGCCAGGAGTGTGGCTTCGGAGAGGTCCAGGACTGCCTGGTGGGCACTTGGAGCTCCTGGTCCACCGCCCAGTTGCTGGCAGTTGCTGGCAAAAGAAATGGAGCTGTACGGTACGTTTTGGGATGTTCCCCCTTATTCTCACAGGGGATTATAGTACCCCCTAGTATACTCTAAACCCTGAACCCTAAACCCTAAACCTTAAACCCTGAACCCGAGAACGTTGATGTGCGTTGCCGAAGTCGCCGTCAGGTCGGTCTGCTCCAAGACCTGCGACGGAGGAATCCACAAGAGGAAGCGGCATGTGGTGCGGCCTTCCAGGCCTGCAAGAGAAGTTGCGATAGTTAGGGTTTAGGGTTTAGGGTTTCGGGTTTAGGGTTTCGGGTTTAGGGTTTAGGGCTTAGGGTTGTGTGTGGATATACATGTGATGCAACAGAGCTCAAGAGTTTCAATTTGTTTCAGTGTTTGGGACAGGCTGGGGGGAAAGCCGTGCAACTTCACACTGGAGGAGGCCCGCAACTTGGAAAGGGTTGCTTTGCTTGCTTTCTCCGGGCTGGGGTGAAAGTGGTGGTGAACTTTCCAGATTTTAGCTGAGAAGACACTGCTCTCCTTGCAGGTCAAGGGCTGTGGTACGGAAACATGTGGCCTGGCGATGGTCCGGGCCTTACGTCTCTGCTCGTAGCAGGAGTAAAGATGCCTTTGAGAGACAAAGCGTCAGCAGCATCAAATAAGGACTGCCAATGGGACGACTGGGACGAGTGGGGTGCTTGTACTCACTGCAGCGGCGAACGCATTCGCGTCCGGGAGGCGGGTTGCACTCTGGAGATCCTCACGATTTTTCCATGGCCTTAAGTGCTGTGGAAGATTTTGGAAGCTCATGCGGCCCCTAAGTCCAACTGCAGTCGAAAACTGAAGCTGGGCAAAATTTCAAAATGGCACCAGGTCCGGCATCTCGGGAACGAGTTGGGCAAGCCCTGCGATGCTTCGTCCTCCCGTGAGGCACGCGGCAACTGCAGGTATCGGGGTTGTGGTGCCTAAGAGTGCGCTGACGCAACGGCAACGTTTTTTAGCTGCAACTTGTAGGTTTCGCAGTGCAACAACTGCCCTGCCAAGAAGACGTCCCGACCTTACACAGGAGCTATCAAAGCCGTTGCATGAGATGTCGCTGGTGGTAGAATGAAGACTGTTCTGTTGTGCCGCCCGTGTCGCCTCGTCATTGGATACGGAAGTACACCAAAGCATTTGGACCACCCATCAAACTCGTAGCTGGCTTTCGAGACGCGTAGAGTGCCACTGCGTAGCACTTTCCACATTGCTTCAGGTTTTGGTGCGTCTGGGCTGACTGGGAGGACTGGTCCTAAGCCACTGCATGCGCCAGGCGATTGCCATGTTTCTTCGAAGTATCTGAGCCGAGCCCAGTCACAGCATCAAGCAATTGTGGGTTTCTATGGGTTTCTCTGAGTTTTTGTCGGGCTTTGAAAGGCTTCGGGCCTCGGATCCAGGTTCTTTTGTCGCAGCACAGGAGGGCGACTGCTCGGTGACCTGCGGCACCGGCGGCCGCCTCCGGCGGCAGCGGATGCCGGGCTCCCCTAGTCGAAGGGGCTAGGACGGGCTCGGAATTTCCTCAGGGATGGAATGGCATTGAACTTTGCCAAGCATGTTAAGCTTCAGGTCTTCAGGTAGAGGGGTGTGCTGACTGCGATTGTCACCCAGACGTGGCTGTGGAGTAAGGAGCCTGACATTGCCAAGCCTTAGGGAAGCGGTATCCCACGAACTCTGCCCAGGCTTCAAACACTCAGCGCCAGTGACTTAGGTTCAGAATGGTGCCGAGTTTAGAGCGCTCTCAGCATGTTCTCAAGTTCTGCGAGGGACAGATGGCGGAATGCAGCTATGGACCTGTAAGTGCCTGTGCGCACGTGCTGGCACAGTGTCAGTATACATTCTGCCGAGATTGGCTTGTAGAGGTATCTGGGTACAGCATGGTACAGTGCAGTCTTTGGACCGAGTCGCCACCTCGCAATCCTGCGGACGCTGTGGGCAACGTCACGGGCACTGACTCGACCTGCGAGGCATACGAGGCCAGGGGAAGGTCGGTGACTGACCCCGGGCAAGACGTGAATCGGTATGTTTCTCGAGCTTGCTTGCTTGGCAGGTGGACTACACGACCTGCAAAGACCTTCCGGCTGACTGCACGGCTTGCGTGGCAGAGGAGTCGTCATGACACACAGTCCTGTGCTTTAGGTGGCTTTTAGAGCATGTTTTGACAGGGTAGCCTTGTATGCGATACCTTTGCACAGGTGCAGGGGCAGATCGTTTTGGCAGCAAGAATTGGCTTTAATGCCAGCAGTAGCCGTAGCCGCAGGGTCCTTTCCTGCATCTTTGAGCAAAGGACAATGATTTCCGCTCTTGTGAGGAGGGCTTTGGTGGGTACCATGCGGTTCAGCTTAAAGATACCAGTGTGCGGAATACCCAAAGCTGGGAGTACATCGCCAAATGGGACGAATGGTGGTTCTAACTAGGTAGAAAGGTGCCCGGTTTCCTCTGACTCGGGTCATCCATATCACAATCGCGGCCATGTCTGTCCCATCATCTGCACTCATGGCAACGCATCTCTACGAAGAACCGCTGCCGGCGTTCCTTTCGATCCAATTTGCACCACTATCTGTGCTGGTCCAAATGGTAACGACCATTTGACGATTTTGCAACTCGGTACGTGGAATCACCAACCTGCTTGTTGACATGTCCCGCGATGTCACCAAACTTGCTGTTGTTCGTCAGGCAGAATCTGGCTAGGTAGGCTCGGCCAGCGGTGTCAGTCAATTGGGTGGAGAAGCAGGTTGGCAGGTCTGGTATAGCAACGCCGACAGATGGCATCAAGACGGTTGCAAGGTGCAAAATGGCAATATTTGGATCAGCACAGGTAGTGGTGCTAATTGGGAGAAAAACACCAGGGATGGTTCGGGTTCAGGCTTGGATGGTTGTGGCCATGTCAGCTGATGCTGCCGAGCAGCGGCCCTCACCAGTGGCAACTTTGGGTGGCCACAGGCCCCACCACGTCGGCTGTTGCATCGACTCCGGCCAGCAGCACCAGTGTCGCAGTGTCTGTCGCCATCTCCACGGCGACCGCGACTGTGACCAGTACTCCGGACACTGTAGTGTCAACCAGTCGCGTTACGACAACAGAAGCAACCACACCGTTCACGCCAGCCTGATGCCGTGGCAACGAGTGCCCGAGACCACCACTTTGAGTAACGGTTGACACAAGATTCCTTCGCTTCACCAATGTACACATCAGCCGTCATGCTGCTGGCTGCCCTTCGGCTTGCCTAATGCTCTTTGTGCCAGCTGCCCTCAGGGTGGGGGTGTTTGGTTCCATGATCCAGTTGCAACTCTAGCGGCAAGCTGTGAGGGGCATGGGCAAATGAGATTGATGAGATTGGCTGGGGGTGTTGGATGATTTCCATCTTTAGTTTCCCGACCAGACTCGTGAGTTTTGGTGGCCCCACATGGGTCTAGCCCGTTGCATTGCAAGCGAGATGAACTTTTCAACGTCAAACCATGGTGGACCGAACTTCAGCGTGCGGGCGGTTCGCCAGTTCTGAGTAGGCCAGCCGATCTCAATCCCTCAAGAAGTCATAGAAGTCCCGGTGCCAGCCCTTCGAAAGCACCAGGACTGTGAGTTCAGCAGCTGGAGCGATTGGAGTCAGCCTACCACCTGTCTGGGCCGCAGCTCTCGACATCTGGCGCTCTTTGAGGTGAATGCATGTTGATGCAACATGCTTGAACGCATAATCCCGAGTCCAACCTGAACTTTTCATTGTCAGACTAAACCCTAGACCCTAAACCCTTACACTGCTTGAGTCCCGGTCGACCCCAGCTTGTTACGTTTCACACTCGCAGGAGAGAGGGATGAGACAGTCGGCTTGCTAGGGAACAATCATGCAGCAACATGGGCATTGCATAATTATTTTTGAAGAGGATCCTACTGTTTGGGGATCTATATAAGGGGGTCCCCTTTTTTCGTAAACCCCCATATTAAGATTGCATGCGGCTCTGGTTCATGCCCAGGTGATGGCCTCTGCACGCGATCGCGCAAGATCTCCAGGAACGCTGCCGTGCTATGGCATCTTATCCAACGTGGCTGACGCCCAGGGCCGCCCAAAGCAGACATGGACTTAGGTATGGGGTGCAGAGTGGAGGGAAACAACATCACCAGATGCACATGCAAACACAAACGCAAGCACCAATACACACAATAAAACTACTACATGGAAATACAACAGACAGCACATGTAGAAACAAGCAACATGTGTGTTGTTTGGTACGTATTTGTTGTGGCGCAGCTTCATGACAACTGAGTGCAACGAACAGGATTAAAGTAGGACACCTTCGATGTTTTGGAGGTGGTGGAATCTCCAATACACGTCATACACTTTATACATGTTATTATGAACTCTTTTCACTTTATGCACTTTAAGGACTTCATACATAATCTATATTTTGTACGTGTTGTACATTCACACGCCACAGCATACATGTTCTTTCATTTTGTACACTCTACGCACTCTTTACACTTCGTGCACTCTGACCCTCCTACACCCTATTTCAGGAAGGGTGCTGTAAGGGTGGGCCCCCTTAAACATACTTTGTACACTTGACAAACAGAAGGGTTTTGCAAGAGGCGGACCGGGGCGGGGAATGGGTGGGGAGATTGCTGCAGGGTAAGGAGGGAGGGGGGGATCCCGAGACCGTTGCGACAGACAAGTGGGCCGGGCGCGGTGTGGGCGGGGGGGGGGGCCGGGGGCGGAGGCGGGGGGGGGGGGTACGGTGGAAGAAACCGAAGGTTTCACTGGCGCCGGTCTGCCAGGGGAATCGGCGGATAGCATCCTGCATCATGTTCAGGCTGTTGTGCCTGTCTTGGATTTTGTTTCTGATGTTGAGTGATTGCAAGTTCCATTCTGCCGGGTTGCGGGTCCTTCAAAGAAGTGTTTGCCCGGAGGCTGAACAATGATTGTGGCGAGGCGCTGGTGTCTCAGGTTGGAGTCTGCACCTGCTCTCGCTTGAGCCCTGACATAGCTTGGCCGGCCTTTGTTGACAAGGTGCTGCTGTAGTCCTGTTTCCGTTGCAGCAGCAGCTTGCTCTGCGTATGTCAGCCGGGTGACCCAATGACGCACGTGCAGGAAATTGGGTTACTGCCAAGGTGCACCGGAAAGCTGCAAGAAACCAAGTCGTGCATCGTGGAAGACTGCGAGGGAACACAGGCCTGCTGCGGGTCACTGCTTTCCAAGCTACGCTTGCAGCTTAGAGCATGATGGTTGAGGTTGCCTGTAGGTGATAACTTTTGAGTGAGTCTTAAGGGCGGCCGGATGACAGGAATGCACTTTCTCACACTGGTCAACGTGGAGCGGATGCTCCGATGACAGCCGCCCCGCCCCCAGAGTTCATCAGTCTTGAGCGCAAAAGGCCACGAGGACACGGTAAGAGGCCGCAACCTCATGAAGACAGTTACCAGATGCATGGCATATGGCTCTGGTGACATGCATTGTGGTTGTCTTTTTCGGGATGCAGGCAGTGGGGTAAGAACCCTCCGGAACGGTTCTTCTGTGATGTTAATCTCAGTACTTGGCCGGGGTCTTCAAGCCATTCCTCGAGCTCAGATTCGCACTTTTGACAGCTTTGCAATGGCTGCGGCCTTCGAGCCGACTAGGCGGATTCGACCCGACAAAGCTGAGGATGTGATTCAGGCCCTTCTCCACCCGAAGGAGCAGGTTCGATTTCAGAAGCTTGGAGCCCCTGGAGCCTCTCTTGCGAAAGAGGGCCGGGACATGTGGATCGTTGGCAGCATTCCCGAGCTGCAGCACGCCGCCAAGGACGTTGCTGCAGCGTTGGACGTGCCAGTTCTCGTCGCTTCTGCCGACGCGCTGGCAAAGGGTGTTGAAAATGGCGGCTCGAAGAAGGTCGTCTCCTTCCTGATTGGTGAGGCGCTGCGCTCCGTGACTTTGCTCGCAGTTCCCCCAGCGCAAAGCCGCGTTGTGTGCAAAGCGCGCCCTGATGTCATTGCAAAGCACATGCAGGGCAGCATCCGCGGCAAGGACATCGTGATAGCTGTGGCAGAGGAGAATAGACTCGCGACGGCTCTTGCGGTTGCTCGTTGCTTGCCACCTTACGCCAGCAAAGCAGAAATGCCGAGCCCCGCAGACGCGACCGTGTGCTTCCATGGCGCGCCTGCGCCAGAACCAATGCTAGTGAAGTTGAACCACATGGCTACATCAATTCGTCTGGCACAGGCGCTTGTGGACATGCCGCCGAATTTTATTCAGCCAGCAACTTTCAAAGAGATCGTCCTAGCAGCGACAAAAGACTTGGACAAGGTGACGGCGCACGTCATCACGGGGACAGAGCTTCGAGACAAGGGATACGGAGGCCTCTGGAATGTGGGGAAGAGTGCTGCCCATAGACCTCCTTGCCTTATAGTGCTCACGCACAATCCCAGTGGTGTGTCAGCTGACGGTGGTCCAGTTGGTGTGGCACTTGTCGGGAAAGGCATCACCTACGACACAGGAGGTGCAGCGTTGAAATCGCGCGAGAGCATGTGCGGCATGAAGCGCGACATGGGAGGCTCTGCAGGCGTCTTCGGCGCCTGGTTGGCGGCTGTTAAGTGCGGTGGACTCCCGACAGGGGCCCCGCTCCATTGTGTGCTTTGCGTCGCAGAGAATGGCATCGGCCCAGGAATGTTCCTAAACGATGACATTATCTTGCACTACTCCGGCCTCACTTCTGAGATCAACAATACCGATGCTGAGGGTCGTTTAGTATTGGCTGATGGAGTGGCGCATGCCGTGAAGAATCTTGGTGCTGAGCTCATTGTTGACATGGCCACGCTAACTGGCGCCCAGGCCATTAGCACCGGGAAGCACTTTTCCTCATTTCTTGCAACAGATGAGGCCTTAGAGAAAGAGGTCGTGGATGCAGGCCGTAAGAGCGGTGAGGGCGCGCACCCTGGCATCTTCGCGCCGGAGCTGCTTCTGTCAGAGTTCGATTCCGAGTTTGCGGACATGAAGAATTCGGTTAAGGATCGAAACAATGCGCAATCATCCTGCGCAGGACTATTTATCTACAAGCATCTGAAGCACGCGGGCCACCAAGGACGGTGGGTACACGTGGACATGTACTACCCTTCTTTTCTTGGTGAGTACGCCACGGGCTATGGCGTCGGCCTTCTTTGTGCGCACATGGGAATCGTTTGAACAGCGTACTGATGCCTGGGCTGACAGCAATGCTACGGGTTGGTCGCCGTAAGTTCTGTGAGATAGAGCATGAAATTTTGTGATCAGCAGATGCGGCAAGCTTGCCGCACATGAGACGCGCAGATTGCGCCATCCGGCTCATGATCAATCGCCTTGAGGCAGCTGGCATAGCAGCAACGTGCTGGAGAGGGCATGCTGCAAGCCCTGGCTCATCTGAGGGGTCAAAGATGCCGGTCGTCCTTTCTTTCTTGAGGCTAAAGCTGTGGCTTGAAGGTATCAGCGAACTAGCTGTGCATGTAGTACGGGGTTTGTTGCTAATTGCGTACGTGCGTAAGACTTGACGAGCTCGGAAGTGCACTGGGATACTTCCATGATCTTCCAAGCCCAAAAGAAAAACCCAAGACACCCAAACGCTGGCCTCCAAGCCCTGTTTCTCGGCAGAGGTCAGCAAACGCGCCTCCGTGAGATTGCTCGGCCGAGCGGGCCCTTTGGGAAGCCGTGTGAAGGAGTGGGATGTTTCGTAGCATGGGTTCCCCCCCCCCCGGGGTTCCCCCCCCCATAAAATTAGGTGGTAGGTAGTAGGGAAACCCAAGATAGTAAGGGTCCAAGGTCGCCCAAGCTTTGTATGGGTAGCCTTGTGTAATGTGAGCCACTTTGGATTGGTGGCCTCTGCAAGACCCTTTTACTGCTCAGGCACTGCTTAGGGTTCAAGTATATTCCCACCTCATGTAGAACAAAAGTTCAGCATCCAACCCCGCAAGCCCGAAGTTGGGAGGACCCCAGAAGGAGACCAAGCCATGCGAGGCTGGGCGGTTGCGGGGTGGTTTCTTCAGTCCTTTCGGGTCAACTCTTTGTGCATTGCAATTTGACACTTCACACTTCGCGTGGCTCTTGTGGCCCACATTGTACAATGTGGCAGAATCCTGTTGGAAGAGCTTCTGCAACATGTTCTAGCAGTGGGCGACTGATGAAGTAGAGCTGCTTAGTTTCCTGGAGACTTTGGGTGCTGAGACTCAACATCCCTTGAGGCAAGCGCCGAGAAGCAGGATTGCCAGCTCTCGGACTGGGATACGCAAACACCTCAGTGCAGTTTGCAGTCTTCGGAGGCTTTCTTGCTTGCAAGCTGCCTTGCTCAGTGTTCGGGCTCTCTGAAGTCCTTGCAAAGCACGGCTACGATTTCAACTTTTTCAATTGTCATAGCATGTGCTTTGCTGTTGTTGCGCCCTGCATTGGTGGAGCAGTCCTGAAATCAAAGGTGGTCAGAGTGCTCTAAGCCGGTGCCCAAGCTGTGAGCTGTCGAATCTGAACAGATCTCCACTCCTAAGCAGCTGCCAGGGCAAGCAGTATTCTCACCTCAAGCCCTGAACCCTTAGACCCGAAGCTGTCATGCCTGACGTGCGAGCTTCGCCAGGAGCTGTGGTGGAGGTCAGCACAGTCGCAGTCGGGAGGCACTGGGCCACACTGGGCCATTCTTGCCCTAGACATGTCTCCTACATCCTGCCACCTTAAGGCTCCTTGTTCTTCATGTTCGCAAGTCGAAAGCGTTCTGTTTCGAGCCTAGCCCCTGACTTCTGCAACATTTTGCAACCTCGCCGCAGATCTACCAGCATGCCCAACATGGAGGGCAGCCATGCACAGGCTCCATGAGGCTGGGGCTCTAGAATCGCTAAAGCTAATTGTTTCAGAGGTTGGGGCGGCTCTCGGGTCACTTGGATGTATTTTCAAGTGAAGGCACAGCCCACATCCCTTGAATCCAGAGATGGCACCGGAGCAAATCATGGCCCGAGTGCAGACCTTGCACGTTGTAAGCTAGTTGTTAGCTAGGACTCCGCTTGGAGCATCTAAGTCCGCCCCTGGAACGCAGGATCACCCAAGAGTGTGGCACGGAGCTCTGCGGCTCTGATGACCCGAACCAGCAGCCTGGCGACGACGACTGCCTCCTCTCGGACCCTCGCTGCAAGTTTCGGGGAGTTGTGGGTTCAGGTGTGTTGAGTCAGTAGACTTTGCGAGGGTGAGCATGCCACCCCTTCGTGCCTGCCTTTGAGCCACCCAGAGGACTGGTCCGACTGGGTCGGCTGTGACGGCTCCACGGTGCAGGCGAGGAGAATTGGGGGAGTAATCAGACCCCCAACTCGGGTGTCCGTGCGTTTTCAAGTTTTGGTATGATGCTTTCCAGGAAGGGTCCAGGAAGGGTCACCCAAACCGAGACCCTCTGGCTTCAGAGTTCCCGAAGTCCTCTCTGCAGGCTTACCGCACGCGGCATCCGCTGCGCGAGGCACAAAAGGAGGTGCTGCGTGGAGCCTCTACGAGCTTCTGGGGGTTTTGATTTTCATTCGAGGCTGTTTTTGTTTTGCAGGGTCGAGCTTGTGGCATGTGAAAGCCTTGTTATTGTGTCTTGGGCCTCGGGCTGAGTTTTGCGGCCACTTTGGGCCTCAAGACCCCGGTTGCGTACCCAGGCTAAACCTCGAAACACGAAGCCCACTAGTTACCAGTCCCCTAAGTGAACCCCTGGCAGAAGGCAGACATGGGGGTTTACGAAAATAAGGCAAATAGTCGGATTCCCTTGTAGTAGGGACCCCCAAGAAGGTACCCCTAAATTCGTAAACCCCCATATGTGCTTAGAAAACGAGAAACCCTTAACTTAACCCCTGGCGTCTGCCCCTGCGTTGTTCAGGGCGTCCCCTGCAGCGGAGTTCTGAAAGAGGCTGGCCGCGGCCTCAGGGTGGGTCTTCAGCAGGGGTATGCCAGATTTGGGACGCATCAGAGGTTTCAGAGTTTGGAGTCTTGGATTTGTTGTGTCAATGGTTTGCAGCTGTCAGGGTTGTTTGGCATCAGGGTGAGTCGCTCATCTAGGGTCGGGTGTGATACTTGCTTGTGCGCAAGTGCTGTGCGTAAGCCTAGGCAAACTGCACACGAGGGCATAGAAATGGTGACGGAGATGATGATCTCGTACAGCGAGCTAGTCATGAAGTGTAATCAGTAATCTTGGGGCCCAATTATGGCTGGGGGGGGGGGTGTGGCCGGGGGGAGGGCGGGAACGGGGAAGGTACCGTGGTCCTGTGAGCAACAGAGAATACCAGCAGCTCAAAGCCTCGAACACTCAGGTACTTGCCCAGGAGCCCAGTCACGAGACTGCCTCTTCTCGGAGTGGGGAATGTGGGGCCGGAAGCCCAGTGGGGATACAATGTTGGCCAGGCAGGTTTCAGATTTTTGTCGTACATCTTGGTTAAAGCTTCTTACTCCCGACGACTCGGATATCGTCGCTTCCGTGTTCTGCTTGTTTCTTCGTCTAAGTACTTGTAACAAGCACGGCTGGGCTTTGTTCGTATAACAAGTTGATGTTTCAATCGTAAGGTTCCAAAGAGGATGCGCCGACCCCTAGAAGGGACCCTTAATCTTATTCCCCTATACAACCTTTATATATACGTTACATAGCCCCTATATACCTAAGTGGCCCCCAAATAAGCCCTAAACAACCCCTAAGGTCCCTCAGAAGGGTCCCTCCTTTGGTCTGTGTCATCTTTAGTCTTAAAACCAAGAACCCGTGTTAACGCGGCCCGATTCTTTGCGGGTTTTTGGGGCTTATTTTTTAACTCCTTAACTGACAAGCACGCCCTTTAGAGTTTCTCCGGCTGTGCCGTTTCGTTACGCAGTACATTCGAACAAGAATGAGACTAAACTCTTCATGAAGTACAAGTTCTACAGAAGCGCAGAACAAAAGGCCCATCTGAAGGTTGGTTGGAAACACCAGACGTGTGACCAGGTTCCTGCGGGGCCTCTTGTGGCGGCGGCCAGCGTTTCCGTACGCGCGAGGCTTCAGTCCGTCGAACATCAACTTTTCTCGATGCCCGAGCGACAGCTCCACATCTGCTGTCCGACAGCGTAGCATGGCTGAAGTATTCCGCGCTGCTAGCTAGTTGCATCTAGTTGCCCAAGCCTCAAAAACTCAAGAAGCCTTCCGTCTTAAGGAGTCCTTGCATGCAATGCTCGCCAGATTCTCCATCCCGGCTTGCCGGGCGGCGACCCCTGCACGGGGAGTACGCATGAGACAGAAGTCTGCAACGAGGAGGTGCGGTACATGTCCCAAAACAGCCAGGGCAGGCTCTTTGAACTATGACATACTATGACATCTGTCAGGTCTCCTGCAATCTCAATGCAGACTGTGTGGTCTCACACTGGAGCTTGTGGCCGTGGACTTACAAGCCCATTCCGCCAATGCGCCAGAACAGGGCTGCACATCTAGGTAATGAAGTTGCCAGTTTTGGGCCTCACCATAATGACCTATGGTTTTTGTCATGATGCAAGCTAGCTGCTAGCTCAGGCGCAGGCTATGCGTGAGCTGAAGCTTGATAGGCTGTAGCATCAGACGATGCGTTTTGGCCGCAGAACTTGTTCCAATGAATGTCGTGCTTTCAATGGACATGTCTTCATGTCTTCCATTTCTTCAAAATCTACATGAATCCTTTCCAAGCCCATCATACAAGCATTGTGTGTTGCAAATGGCTTGTGCGCACACTCCCTTGCTTGCACGCCTGTGCGCGCTTGAGCTCGTGAACTGTGCAGTGGAACCAAGTCGGCCGCGCACTGGTTCTAGTGCGCGTGTACATGTCCCACTCATGGGCAGCAGAAGAAACCTGGCACTGTGGTGCACACCTGGTCCTGCTATTGAGAGCTGTGGCTGCCCCTCATATTGATGAACTGGTGTTGCCAGGTCTGTGTGCTCGGTATCCTGTGGAGAAGGCCAGAGTGTTCGACAGCGCAAGATCATCCAGGCAAGGAGCATAATAATGACAATAATAAAAATAACAATGATTATATCAATAATAATTACAATAATAAAGCAAAATCATAATAACAATAGTAACAATAGTAACAATAGTAACAATAGTAACAATAGTAACAATAGTAACAATAGTAACAACAGTAACAATAGTAACAATAGTAACAATAGTAACAATAGTAACAATAGTAACAATAGTAACAATAGTAACAATAGTATAGTAACAATAGTAACAATAGTAACAATAGTAACAATAGTAACAATAGTAACAATAGTAACAATAGTAACAATAGTAACAATAGTAACAAGAATAACAAGAATAACAATAATAACAATAATAACAATAATAACAATAATAATAACAACAATAATAACAATAATAACAATAATAACAATAAGAACAATAAGAACAATAAGAACAATAATAACAATAATATCAAAAATGACAATATTAGCAATAATAACAATAATAACAATAATAACAATAATAACAATAATAACAATAATAACAATAATAACAATAATAACAATAATAACAATAATAAAAATGATAACATTAATAACAAGAATAACAAGAATAACAAGAATAACAAGAATAGCAAGAACAACAAGAATAACAAGAATAACAAGAATAACAATAATAGCAATAGCAATAATAATAATCAGAATATTCATACTGATTGCTTCATGGCACGACAGGAGCTCAAGCATTGCTCGTCTTTGGAACACTTGGTTTCTTCGTATCCAGCGCGACACAAGCATCATCAGAGCAAGCAGGCGGCACAGCCAAATGGTGCTGGCTGCAACTTGGCTCTCCTGGAGGCACATCTCTGGAGGTTTTAGCACTTTAGGGTTTAGGGTTTAGGGTTTAGGGTTCAACGTATTCGGCTTGAGCATGGTGCTTTTCAGTTCGGAGGTCGGCGCCTGCACTGGAGCATCCACGAACGAGACCTGCACCTTGGCACCCAACAGTAGGGCTCTGGCTTGTTTAGATCGGCAAGTACCTTGAGCCGGAGATTGCGCAGAGCAATTTTCGAGCTTGCCCTGAGGTGGAGACAATGTAGACTGCGTGTGGGGAGGTTGGATGGAATGGTCCGACTGCCATCAGGCAAGTTGCAACAGATATGCCTGTGCCGCCTGTGCCAGTTGAGCTTCAGCAAAGCCTGCTGCAGGCATCCTACTGTGGTCTGGGCTACCGGTCGCGGTCTCGCAAGATCAAGGCAGCGATCCTAGCTTCTTGCAAGAGGCACAGCCAACATGCAGCGGGACCGTCTGTTGCAGAATGCCACAGAACTCTCGTTTCCAGGAGCTTTGTCTGACAAACAGCTCTGTGTGAAGTAGGTAGTTTCACACGACAGTCAATCACGTACGTCTCAGAAGCTCAGAGGTGGCCCCCGTCGGCAAGGGTGAGCGATGTGACCCGCTTCCCGCTGAAGAGGCTGGTCTGGCCATCCTGAGCAAGAGGACCACATGAACAGCATTTAGCAGAATTGGTTTCATAGGGTTTCATCCTAATATTAGTCACCCCCCCGGCCCTTGCCGTCAACCGTTTGAAATTGGCTTCAAGAGATTTATTCTTCGTACGCTCGTCTTCGGGCATACCGGGAGTAAGGGTGTTTAGTAAGCGGAGTATGGCAGAAGAAGACTTCAAAACAGCCCCGTCAGGTGGTTACGGATGTGAGATGCGCGAAGTCTTGCACGAAGTCTGCTGATGGGAGCCCAGCTTTTGGTTCTGGGAACTTTGTCAGTGCTGGCGCGGAGTCATTTCGAGCTGAGCCTAAAGCCTAGACTCCCCAAACCCTAAACCCTAATGTAGTTTAACTCAGTGTGATGTACTTTGCAATCCTGAGCCCGCCGAGGCTTGTATCGATGGCGAGTGGGACAACTGGGGTCCTTGGGGATCGTGCCAAGCTGAGCTGGTTGCAAGCTGCCCGCAAGGTGATGTGGAAAGAATTGCTGGCAGCTTGAAGCTGTGTTCCGTGCAAAATGGTTGGCGGTGGATGGGATCTCATAGCCAGCTTCGAGGTGCAGTGTGACTTGCGGTCGGGGTGGCATGCGCCTGCAGCTCAGATCATCTCAGATCTGCCCACGAAGCGAGACTATAAAGCTGCCTACAGAGCTGCGGACACCAACTCCTGCTGCATTTTAGCAATTTTGCCTATTCGCATCTTCTAGCAACGGCAGGGGTTGGAGTCGGTTTGTCCTTGCTCTGCTCGAGGCAAGCGAACGCGATCTGAGAAGGTGCAGGCGCGGAGCCAAGGTTCCATTTGCCACATCACTGATCACAGACACCATGGCAAGGCTACCCTGTAAGCCTTCAGAAGCCTGGAGGCAAACCACTGTGGCTTCGCCGCCAGTGGAGAGAGCCAAGAATTTGGGCCCTGCATGGCAGGGGTCCCGGTGATGCTGCATGTAGCGGCTTGAGGCAAGCTGCAGGTCACATATGTTCTGCTTCACTAAATCTCATGCAGTGCGGTGTTACGTGGCTGAAGCAGCATGCGCCCTAAGCTGACAAGGCATACAAGGCCTACGCCTGCTCATTGCACAGCAGAGCTGTCAGTCATGCATTCCAAGGCAAGCCGGCCATGCGAGAGCGAGTGCCTGCCCCTGCCAGCATGTGCCTTCTACATTCACGAGCATGACTTTTATCTCCTGAGCCATCGTTGGGCAATTCATGTATACAGACTATTGGGTCGCCTGCTTCAACGCGCGACTCATGTGTTCTTCGAGAGTATTTAGAAATGGTGCAACACACAATGTCATACCGCTTCAACAGCTTCAGCAGAAGGATAGTGATTTCTGACTTCGGTCGAGGTTTCACAGTCATCTTTGGGAGTGCTCGGATAACAGAGACTCTATCATTCCTACGTGTATTTACATACACAGATGTGTATGTGTAGGATGCAGGGCCAGTATTTATCTCCCGAATCGGAGTGTCGTCATGGCTTGGTGTTGCCGTACAACGGACTCTGCCTTGATGCTCTTAAGGGTCGAAGCTTCCTAAGCCCAAGCCCAAACCTCGTCTCTGAAGCCTACGCCTTTGCTTCAATTAGCCTATACCAGCCTTAAAGTCTATGACCCCATCCTGGACCCCCCATTACCCCAGCGCCGTTCATTCTCGCCTTGGTAAGGTTTGGAGCGCAGGACTGCAAGTTCGGCGCCTGGTCGCAGTGGGAGGAGCGGCCACAAGAAAAAGCCATGTGGTGTTGAAATGAAGGTACGAACGGTGGGAACGGTACGAAGGGTACGAATCGTGGTCTACGTGCCTTTGTGTCCCTTTTTACTCCCCAGGCGATTTTGTTGCAGGCTGTAGCCAGATCCTACTCGCTTTCACCCTTGAACCCAGAAACTGTGGAACCTCGGAGAAGCCTGCCGCACAGAAGTGCGACCAGAGGCGAACTGCAATGTCAATGAAAAGCTACGGGGCACATCTGAAGCTCTTGGTTGGGAACATGTCCGCTTCACGTGCGCGAGCGTGAACCAATCTCCTCATCCCAAGTCAGGCCAAGCCAGCGAGCAACCTCCCGGTAGGAAAATGCGCCCCGAAGGACTGCAGTGCCAGCTGCAACGGTGCCCGAAGCCGGCACCGCCACATCGTTCAGTACAGTGCCTACGGAGGCGCCTCCCGAGTTGATGTGGGGGTTTCCGAAAACAGGGGGGTCCCTTTAGGGGGATTCTGGGGTATTCCCATGTGATGCTTTGAGATCTGGGAGGTCATCTGAAGCCCATCATGCCAGCATTTTGACATCTCTTCTACCTTGTGAGAGGAGCGCCACCACGTCTAAGCCTTTTCTAACCCCAAGCTCCGAAACCCCCCAAGCCTACGATGCCTGCGCAGGCCAGGCGTGTGAGGGCCCCATCCTCCAAAGCGAGAGGCCAGAAACATGGGTTTAGGGCGAAGGGTTCTGTAGCGTTTGCCGCCCTAAGCCCTGAGCCCTGAGCCCTAAGCCCTATGCCCTAAGCCCTAAGCCCTAAGCCCTAAGTGATAGTCAGGCGAACCTACCAGGCAACATGTTCCGACTCCTTGACGAAGTACATCGAAGTACCGAAAATACGCAGGCGTGTTTTTGCGTCTAGATGCTGTTTCGGCGGACTGGCAAATCTTGGTGTTGGGGGGAGGGGGCGCGGGGCGTGCCGGACTGCGCAGGCGCATGGTGCGTTTCACATGCCATACGATCACCGCCATGCTTGCATGTGTAAACCCCGAAAAAGCCCTTACTGTGAAAGGCTGACCCTAAAGCATCAGCACTAAGCCCTAAACCCCAAACCCTAAACCCGAAACCCTAAACCCTAAACCCTAAACCCTAAGCGCTTAGGAAGCCTGAGTTGCTGACAACAAAGAGCCCTAATCCCTAAACACCTAGCAGCCGCAAGCCCGAAGATGGGGTGAATGACTTAGAAACCCCTAAAATCTGACCCCTAAAGGCTCAAAACCCTAAAAGGAGCCCAAACGCCTCAGTCCCTAGAGGGTCAAGAGGTGGCGAAAAAACCCCAGAAAGCCTAAAAGACGCAAGGGCCCCTGAAACCTCTCAAAGCCCTAATCCCTGAAAGGCGGAGGTCGAATTCGAAACAAGACCAGGTGAGAATTTGCCTGGCAAAGCCTCGGGGTTGTGGGCGACCCTAAACCATATAACAATGCGAGGGCGTGGCTTGGAATCTGAAAGTGAGTGGACCATCGGTAACTGGTTTCCGCCTTGGCATCAGGGCACCTTCGGGAGTGCCAAGTCTTGCTGGTGCCTGTGAGAGTGGTCTGGTTGAGTTCCCATGAGTTTTGCGGCCAGTGTGTGCACTCTAAGTCTACGCATGCTGTCGAGGAAAATGTGTTCGGGGTTACGCATGACCTCACGGAAGCTCCTCCCACTGTGCGAGGTGCAACCCAAGCCCATCTGAGCACTCTCCGCCCTACGGATGTGTGAGCGGAGTCGGCCTGGCACCTTTTTGGCTACCATTTTGCTTATGAGCCCCCCAAAAAACTAAAATAGAAATCCCTAAATTGGCCTTATGAGGAATATCTTAAGCAAATAGTAGCACCCTTTGCACCTGTGCTGCGCTTGTTGTTTCCCTGCTATACCATGCTTCAACATCGGCTGGCACACCTGCTGTTTCTTCAAGAATGGTGGCAGGCTCCAGTTGACTGTGTTCAGTGGCCTCCAAGTGAGTGGCCAGCACCTGAGCCTCTGAGATTATACGGAATGTTCGCGATTGCCAAATGTGCTTGCTGCCTCCGCTTCCAGCAGACGTGTAACGATGCGAGCTACGCGAGCCTGTTGAGGTCTGCTTGCTCTGCAACGTGTGGTACTGGCAACCAGGTGCGTTCTCGTGCTTCGGTTCCGCTCTTTGTGTACATGGTGTGGTTGGCAAACCCAAAGCTGGAAGCTGCATCATGCAGAGTATCGCCACACAGCAAGAGTCTTGTCTTAACCCTAAACCCTAAACCCTAAACCCTAAACCCTAAACCCTAAACCCTAAACCCTAAACCCTAAACCCTAAACCCTAAACCCTAAACCCTAAACCCTAAACCCTAAACCCTAAACCCTAACCCTAAACCCAAACCCCAAACCCTAAACCCTAAACCCTAAACCCTAAACCCTAAACCCTAAACCCTAAACCCTAAACCCTAAACCCTAAACCCTAAACCCTAGACCCTAAACCCTAAACCCTAAACCCTAAACCCCAAACCCCAAACCCTAAACCCTAAACCCTAAACCCTAAACCCTAAACCCTCACCTCGCAGACGCGCGAGCGACGCGTGGCTGTCGAGCCGGCCTACGGCGGCAAGACTTGCCCGGAGCCGCTGAAGGAGCCGCCCTCTTTGAGCCGCTTTTGTAAGCTTGTTTAGGGTTTAGGGTTTAGGGGGTTAGCGGTTTAGGGGTTTAGGGGTTTAGGGTTTTGGGGTTTAGGAGTTCAGGGGTTTAGGGGTTTAGGGGTTTCGGGTTTAGGGTTATTGGGCCCTCAGGGTTGGCCTTGGTGTGGCGTTTCAAGCTCCGCATGGAGGAGTTTCAAGCACGGAAGCTTTTAGTGGCTATGGCCAGTGCCCAAAAGCGTCACGCTCGTGATCCTGCTTGCCCAAAGCTCCCACCTTGAATCATCCAAAAAGAATCATGAGAGCAACGGTCCAGGAGATCCGCGAATGCCAGGCAGCTGCAAGCTGTGAGGTGGTTGACAGGCCTGGCCTCCTACAACCCTCAATTGCTACGAGAGATTTCGGGGGGCAGAGACAAAGGGAAAGCCTCTCGAGCTGACTCGAACTTGTGTGGACTGTCCCTTGCCGTCTTCCACGCTTTTATATGACTGTTGTCACCGTTGCGATGGCCAGGGACTGCGTGCTCTCGGACTGGGGAGTCCTTGCCTCAGCGCTCCAGGCGCCCCCCAAGCGGGTAAATCGTTGTGGCTGCTGCAACTGAGCCTTGGGCCTTGTGGATGTCAAGCCTCTGCGGTTGAAGAGTCTATTTGGATCAATTTTGTTGGTTCTCTATCATGAGATTGAAGAGAACTTAGTCTGAACGAGAAGGTCAAGTTCAAGGAGACCCTTCCTATGTCCAACGAATACCCTCAGCATTCCATCAGGTATTGAACATCATTAAATCCCCCCCCCCCCCCGGGGGCCCCTAAACCCTTAGCCTTAAACCCGAAACCCTTAACCTTAAACCCGAAACCCTTAACCCTAAACCCGAAACCCTAAACCCTAAACCCCCCTAACCTAGTCTCCGCCCGGTGCCAAGGCCTGGTCCGCCTGCGAGCCCATCGCTTACCAGCGGCTCCGGCGACGCGGAGTGAAGATCTCGCAGGCCGGAAAAAGCCCAAGCATAAGGGTTTAGGGTTTAGGCATGTTTAGGGTTTAGGGTTTAGGGTTTAGGGTTTGGGGTTTAGGGTTTAGGGTTTAGGGTTTACGGTTTAGGGTTGATCACTTATCTTCTCCTCTTCTTATATTTCATGCATTGTAAGTTTACGCACGAATGCACGAAATGTAAGACGAAGAGAAGAGTGAAAGGGCCCTATTAAAATAATACGAACGAAGCGTGCACAAGTTTACCTTCGTTCGTACTATTTTAATAAGGGGCGAGTGAATAAGTGCACGAAGTAAACGCATTCACGGACGGACCTAACATTGAGGCTTCATGGACGGGCTCTTGGGCAGTTAAGGTGTCATGAGATTGATGGTGTACGAAAGGAATGTTGACCGCCCCTATAGTACTATCCCGTGAAGATAGAAGGGAGACCACGGGCCAATGTCCTTCACATGACGTTGTGCACTATCAGTGCTGCGCCATGTTTCGTGAACCACTGCAATTCTCCCCGAGTGCGCGCCAGGCTTTAGAACGCAAAATCTTAAGGCAACCCGAAGCCTGAAGCAGATGATGCCTAGGCCTGAAACCAATGATGTCATCTCCCCTTGCTGCTTGCAGGCAGGTGTGGGCAAGGACTGTGAAGGCCGGTGGCTCAGAGACCTGTTGGGTGCGTTACGTAGGTTGGGGCTTAGTTTGAGCTACCCCTTTGGGGCTATGAATCCACGCAAGGCTCCTCTGGCAGATAAATTTTGGCTTCAGGGCAGCTCTGCAGTTTGGTTCGAGGGCGTTTCGGCGCTTAAGGCTGGCTTGCTGGCTTGAAAACGTTTGGAAGCCACCCCGCCTATGTGCACGTGGTTAAGCTCTCCCAATCCCAAAACCCCCGAGCATGACAGTAGAGGATCTCGAGGCCCTTGACAGCCCTTGAGAGCGCTTGAGAGTGCCCTGGGGCCCTCAATGCCCTACACTCCTCGATCTTCATGATCTTTCCTCCGCACGCCAAGGCAACCTCACCGAAGTTCGGGGCTGCGAGGGCGGCTGCGAGGCCTGGTACCTGCTCTCCGTTTTGCGGCGCCAGAGGTGTTTTGAACAAGAGTTGACGAGGTGTGTTTACGGGTTGTCATGTTCTTTGGTGGTTGGTGTCGTGGTGCCACTGAACTTTAAGTGTTCTGTAGGGGACCTCACATGCCCAGGAAAAGTCCTACTGGTGCAGCTGGTCGGGCTCTCGTGCCAAGATGCCGAAAGCATGCACGGCAGAACTGCGTTGTGGTTTGGGGTCTGCAGGTTTCCGAGGACACCCAGGCGTTCTGAGATACCTCGAAACCCGAAACCCGAAACCCTAAACCCTAAAACCTAAACAACGAAACCCTAAACCCTAAACCCTAAACACCAAAACCCTAAACCCTAAACCCTAAACCCTAAACCCTAAACCCTAAGCCCTACACCCTAAACCCTCGAAATGCAGAGGGCGGACTGGCGAGACTGGGGCCTCTGCTCCACGACCTGCGGCTCAGCAGGCCACTGGGTGGGTCTGTTTTTAAGTGCTTCGGTTCCGAATCGGAAGTGTCCGAACGCTGTAAATGCTAATCTCGCACACCAACAAAAACGCACACAGCTAGGTCGAGAGATAGGGTTTCGCCTAGCAATTGTATTTTGTCTCGGTATGTTTGTGTTTACGCTGTTTGTTGCATGCTTTTGGGAGAAGGCAGGAAGGGCCTTCCATGACAAACAACTATGTTGTTTGAGACAGCCGCTGCAGAAAATAGCAAGAAAGCATCACAGCTCACGTCTTTGAGAACTTTGGAGCCCGAGAGGCCGGAGGCACCGCTACCGCCCCATGAAGCTGGTCGAGGCCGAAGGGGCCCAGGGTGTCGAGGATGTTCGTGGAGTTCCGAATTGTATTATTAGTTTTTTTGTTTGTGTGTGTGTGTGTGTGACCTGCGCTTCAAAGAGCCAGATGCTCCTTCTGCCGAGGTGACCGCTGCGGAAATGAAGCAAAAAGGCCTGTGCAATGGGCCCTTTTCAGTGAGCCCTTTTGCTGCCCAAGAGGCGATACTTCACTATCTTCATTCTCGAGACCGGTTTGCATATGAAACACGCACACCGTTCCGTGACACGTTTCCAGTATGCTGTTGTCTGCACTACCATTAGGCGCAAAGAGTCCGAGACGCAAAGGCTGACACTAAGAGGGCTGTTTCGCGGTAGACGTGACAAGACAACACTGCCTACTGAACGCTGCCCCACGTGCGCTGGATTTCGGACTTTCAGCTGCCATCTCGAACGCAAGGGCTCTGAACACCGGTGCCCCGCCACTCGCGAAGTCCATCCAAGTTCTAAACCCCTACAAACAGGTGCAGCAGCGCCTGTGGCCCCGACAGCTCCGACTGAGGGGCTGGTTTTCGAGCAGCATTTCAGCTAGCTTTGTCCAAGAATAAGTAGGGCTCAGGGACGTTGGGAGGAGTTTGTGCGGTGTTGGGGGGGCTTAAAGAGTGTCGAGATTTTTCGACAAGAGGTTGCTTCAGGCTTCATGCAAAGGATACCAAAAGGACCCACTGGAAGCTGTGAAAGTTTTGTCTTGGAGTTCCCGCTGTTCAGGGTTTAGGGTTTAGGATACAGGGTTTAGGGTTTAGGATACAGGGTTTAGGGTTTTAGGGTTTGGGGTTTGAGGTTTTAAGAGGTTCGGCGTTAGCACGAGCGCTAGCGTGAGCTCGGCTTGAGCTTAGTCTGTTCAGTTTTGGTGTAGAAGGTTGAAAGCCGCGAATTCTGAGTTCAGCCACAAGAATGGTTCCCAGGAAACTGCACGTACTGCACTTTTCAGGCAGGGTGTCGAAAATGAAGGCTTCTCAGGAAATTGAGGGAAGGACGCCAGAAAGCTTGGCCCCGGAAGCGGTTGAGGTTCAAGGTTGGAAGGGAAGCGCATGGCCCATGATACCGACAATGCAGAGCTGTGTATATATGATTATGTAAATATACACATATGTATATGTGTATATATATATATATACATATATATATATATATACTAACACAAATTGAAGCTGAAACTCCAGCATCTGTGAGACTCTTGGCCTCTTTGACCCTCAGCCGTAAGAGACCTCCCGGTCAACGACATGTGCCTTGCAGGACGGTTTTTACTGGTTTTCTGAAGGATCCAGAAAAACCCCTTCGATTGCCCAGCCTTGTACAAAGAACGGAAATCGCCATTTTGGGCAGTCTCCCCGTGCTTAGACTTAGAATTCTTTGCTTCGAAATTCAGAACGCCTCAAAAGGGTTTTTTAAAGGCCACAGTTTCTAAATGGCGTTTCTTCAAAAGGTTGGACCCCCCTGAAGAGTTTCAAACTATAGACTGGTCTCCGAAAATTTTATCGACCTATAGTTGAAAACTGCGACAATTCTATGATATGCGGAACTTTTGGACTTGCCTCGCGCGCTGGCACGCGGTAAAGTTAATTACTCATGCTTTTTGTATTCCTTCGCGGACTTGATGAGGCAACAACATATGTCCCCTCATCGTTCCAAGACTCCCCTTCTCATCTTCGAAGACCTGTAAGGTGCTGACCAATGCCACGGAGGTCCAGCAGCAGTTTCAGCTCCTCAGCCGGGCACTCGAACAAAACAGGGGTTTTCAGTGCTGTCGTGGGTGTCCTTGCTCCCAGAAGCTGCGCCTTTCAAGTTCCTAGCGGGCTTAGCAGGGCCATGCAGGTTTTGGTGCTCCGCCATGAAGACAGGTTCTTCTCCGGTGGAAGTTGATGCATGTGACGCAGGCCGCAGGCTGAAGCTTGGACATCGGCATCTCGTCGCGTGCCCCAGTGAGACATGGTGAGACATGCTGGGAGCTGTCGGGGGGTCCTCAGAGGCCTCAGATGCCTTGTGGCTTCAGGTCTGAGAGGTCACATGCTATGGGAATGCGTAGCAATCTGTGCCTTAGGCACAGGGCCTGCAGGGATGGGTCTGTAGCAAGAGTTGCATCGCAGTTAGGACTTGCTGGCATCCTTCTTGGCGGGCGCTGGGAGCTTTGCGGCCATTGCCGGCAGGAAGCCTACCAAGCACCGTATTTTGGAGAGGAGTGTGTTGAATCCCATGGACTAGCTCTCGATCCTTTCGCGCGTGAACTTCGTGAGATCATTCACTGTGTTCGCGCTCTTGTCACTTTAGTTGCTTGCATGCACTCTGAGTGAACATAGCGAGAGCGTGCCCGCATGAAGTGGCGGATAGCACAAATAAGACCTCCATGATCATTCAGCCGGTCGCGGGCGTCTCATGGGGTCGAATTAGTAAGACTCTTCACCGATGCTGGTACGAACTCCATGGGCAAGAACGAAACCGCGCAAAGTTTTCCAAACGGGACCGGGCTCTCCATAGACGAGTCTGCAATATAGGTCGCTAAAAACGCCCTACTCAGTTGTGCAGGCACTCTAGAGCGCAAGAGTGCTTGCAACTCTACGTGTGTTGACCGAACCTCTTATTTTCATAAGGTCGTTATGTTTGTTTCACATGGATGGCCCTCCTGTTGCACGAACATCACTTTTTAAGTGCTTCTGTTTCATTTGGGAAGGGGGGGGGGAACCATGTGTAACACATAGACACACACACGCACACGCGCGCACACGCTGCAGCATGTAGTCAACACATGTTAAGACTTCCCTTCGATTGCCCAAGGCTTGGTGGCCTTGCTGACAAGACGGGCGCAGCCCCGAGCTGTGCTTCAGTTTGTCCACTGGCAGACATGCGGTCCTTGCTCCACAGGAGTAGTATAGGGTCGGAATAGTTACGAACCACATTCCCTCATGGTCCCTTTGTAATTCTGCTATAGTCACCCCCCCCAAAACCCTATTCTCAGTATTCAGGCCCCTACATTGGATCCAGAAGTCGTCTTGTTGCAGGGCTTCTCGGCACCGCTTGAAGCACCGCACCGGCACCCAGATTCTGTCGCCACTGGGTCGGGCTTTGACGCTTGAGTTGAGCATGTTGGGCCTAGCTAAACCCTAAACCCTAAACCCTAAACCCTAAACCCTAAACCCTAAACCCTAAACCCTAAGCCCTAGACCATAAACCCTAAAACCTAAACCCTAAACCCCAAACCCTAAACCCTAAACCCTAAACCCTAGACCATAAACCCTAAACCCTGAACCCCACAACCCAAAAGCTAGTTTTGTTTTCCTTGTACAGGTCGCCTGTTTTCATTCGTAGCTGCCGGGGATGATGGCTTTCTGTTTCACCCTGACTCATCCAGCGACCTTAAACCAAGGCACGCCTTAGCCACCGCGCATTCTTGATACATCTCGGTAAGCTTAAACCCTAAACCCTAAACCCTAAACCCTAAACCCTAAACCCTAAACCCTAAACCCGAAACCGGATTATTCGTAGATTGAGCTGGGAGCGCGTTTGTTGCCACGAGAGACCTCGACAATGTCTGTATACTTTATAAGGTACAGCTGGACATGCCCCACACCACTGACTTTTGAACAGCATTGAGCCCTAAATCCTAAACCCGACACCCTAAACCCTAAACCCTAAACCCTAAACCCTAAACCCTAAACCCTAAACCCTAAACCCTAAACCCTAAACCCTAAACCCTAAACCCTAAACCCCAAAACCCAAAACCCTAAACCTAAACCCTAATTGAACCCTGAACATCTTGCCAAGGCTGTATGCGAACCAGGCATCGGCCTGGCACCCAGCAGAGGGCGGCGCGCCATGCCGGGTCTTCGAAGCGCTTAAAAGATGGGTTTAGGGTTTAGGGTTTAGGGTTTTGGGTTCAGGGTTGAGGGTTTAGGGTTTAGTGGACCTACAAGGCTGTATGCTCTACCGCAGGCATTTCCCAACCTAGGGGTGCCAATTTTTGTACCCCAAATAGAAGGGACCCCCCAAACGGGTACTCCTTACATCGTAAATTCCCATATCGCGCAACATAACCCCCTGAGGGCTATGGGGGGTTCCTGCCTTCAAGTGGCTCGTTTCATCACAGCTTGTGCGTGTTGCAGCAGTGCCTGCCGAGGCCCTTGAATGAGTGGCCTTCTTCCATAGCCGGAACCTTGAAGTTGCATGAAACACAAAAGGAACTCACTCAGTTCCATTCAAACTCAAAAGCCTTGGCTCCCAGGCGTGGCATCTGATCTCGGTCGTAGGAGAGGGGCACGATTTGTTTCATTACCAGGGCCACCCCTCCAGAAAGTGTTGGGAGGGTTGGTCAGCGTCGGCATGCGAAGTGCATGCTAGTGGCTTGTGACCCCAAACTCGGCGCGCACCAGAACATACAGGAGCAGGAACTATGGTCTGAAGATTTGTGAAGTATGCTACTGGCGTAGAGCAGGCCGTCTACAACTTTTAAGCGCATTGTACTGATCCCCCAATGTCGGGGCTGCACGCTGAGGCTGCCCTCGGTTTCAAGTATTGTCTTCTAGTATTGCTGAGCTGCAGAACGAGTATGTTGTAGAGTTGTAGGTACTCCAATAGTGACATGCAGTGGAGTGGAAAGTCAGGGAGTGCAAAACTGATGCAACAGAATCACGCGCTTATCGTAGCTGTTGAAGTCTGTTGGCCTTCCTAAACCTAAACCCTAAACCCTAAATCCGAAACCCTAAGCCGCCCACAGGTAGCTACTTAGATTACTTTGCGTTGCAGCTTGGAGCCGTGGGCCAGCCAGTAATTCGGTGCCCAAGCGCCTCAGAGTGTTGCAGAGCCTCTTTGGCTGTAGTCAGAACCTTCGATGAAGGAAGCGGCCCGGCTTTTGAGACCACGAAACAGGGGACGCAATTCTCACAGTCGAAAGATGTTTCTACGGCACTGCCAACAAGGCCACCAAACCCTAACGTGCTATCTTCACCAAGCCGTATTAGCTGCTAGTTTTGGGGGCCGTGGGGCTCATCTTCTCCAGCCTCAGTGTGCGAAAGCGCGTGTGTTTGCTTGGTTGTGTTGTTGGCGGCACATGGACCTCTCCTGCATGTACCACAGAGGAGCCACTCCTACTTACGCAAGTCGCAGTCTTCCTGATAGTTTTGTGGTCATCGAACTCCTTTTTGAGCCATGCAGAAAAAGCCATGGCAAAACGTGTGCAGGCTTGTCACAGTCGTCCTCGGATCACTTTTAGCACTTCCAGTGGCTGTTTCTCCCGGACTACCCTTCACTCCACGAGCCTGGGACCATGAATCTCTTTACCCAAAGCCCCTGCACACGAAATTCGTAGAGCAAGGAGCTCTACTTCGCCCGCAGCACGTAAAACAGAGCATCTGGGAGGGGAGGGGAGTGAAGACCAGCTCAGTTTCAAACAGCACACCCAAGGCAGCAATGCTGAGAACTGGAGACTTCACACGGACAATGGGGAGTTACGTACTGCGGCAAAAACGCCCAGAGGGTTGGCTTAGGCATAAGGCATCTGAGAAGGGCACTGCTTCAGGAAGCCGGCATTTGATCCAGCAACGGAATACAGCCAAAGAGAATGAAGGCTACCGACACATCTGTGGGGTTTTGAGCTCGCTGTTGTGCTGCATGTTGTGCTTGTTCCGGGTCGAGCACAGGAGTCTTGTCATAGTTTTCGCCATAGTCCCGCCCAGGGCCAGAGCGGCATCTTGAACACATTGCATGAGTTGTCTCAGTGGCCATGAGTTGTTCCTCCATCAGTTATATGAAGTGGTACAATCACAATCGTTATATCCTGCGCGCCATCGCACGGACAATATGGCGGAGGCTCCTGTCAGAGTCACTGCATTTTTGAGCTGAGACCATGTCGAGTTTCCATTTCAGGCCAACTTGGCACTTAACTTGGAGCAGGCCCATGTGACAGACTTTTCAGCATTTTCGAGGTTTGTGCTGAGCATTCAGCCGCGCCGAGGTTTAAGGACCTTTTTGTATTCCCTTTCGGTTCACCGCCTCCTCCGTTTCAGCTTCGTTTCCCAAGAGCTCCTAAAGTGGTTTTTGCGCAGGTATTCCGCGAAAATGAGAAGCTTGACGAGGCAGTGAGTCCATAGAAGCATCTGGTGGCAGTTTGACGCAAATCCAGATTTTGCTTTTGCGTGATGTGCAAGTCTCGTGCTGAAGCAAGCTTCACGTTTATGTGTGCAGGTTCGGCGATCGAGTGAAGCCCTGTTGAAGCAAGCATCCCAGCCTGGGACACAGCAAGAATCCTGCTGCATCGTGGTTGTCCTGGATGTGCAAGTGGGGGGCATGTTTCCAATGTGCACAGGAACGGTGACAGCACTCTGCGAGTGCTTGGCCTTTGCAAGGCTGTGCCGTGTCGCGTCGCAGCCGACATGTTGCTAGAAGCAGCTGTGGGCTTGCAGGCTGCACAGGCTGACCTCATGGATCCCGCGCATGGTTCCAGAATAGCTGCCCTTGAAAAGGATGGGACCTCATCTTCAGGGTCGAAAAACTCAAAACAAGTCGTATATTCTGCATGTCTGTTGCCCAGTTGCATGCCGCGTGTACTTGGGGGACGCCTCTAAAGCTATGGGGTGCTACAGAGCAGCTGCTGAAGTATCCTGGCATCCCCTATCATGCCTCGAGTCAAGGTTAGAGAAGCGAAAGCGTTAGCAGAGGAGACTGCGCCATGCTTTACATGTTCTAAGAATCAGAGGGACCGCCTGGTTGTGTTGAGGAGCACCTCCTTGCAGAAGGGGCAGCCGTTGTAAAGTATTCAGCAGCAAGGAGCCGCCGAGCTGAGAAGAAGCCAGGGGTGGGCATGCGCGGGATTGTGTGGGCCCCTTCTTGGCCTTGGTGCAGGATTCACGCGAAAGACGGTGGCGAAGATGGCTTGGACCAGGTGGCTACAGGGAGCAGACAAGGGTGACATCTGGCCGCGATGCCCCTGGTGATTTCAAAGAAATCTCCATCTGACGGAATCCGAGGCTTTGGACCTCTGCTTTCAAGCCGTCGACGCCTTTCATAAGCTCGGGCAAAGGAGGGCCGAGGCCCCTCGATTCCCTCTTCAGATGTCAGAGGTGTGTCTGCTGGATGAAGTCTCTGTGAACAGTTGAGATAGCTGACATGAGTCTGGGGTTTTCCTGAGTGTAGGGTAGCGAGCACCCACAACAACAACACCTGACCATGGCACTTGTCCAAGAGGGCAGATGAGGGGTTGTCCGGAGCGTAGGGTAGCGAGCATGTCGGCCTCAGTGAGCAGCGGGTCCCAGATGGTAGATGCACTCGTTGTCTTCTGCAATGCCTGTGGATATGGGTTGTTCAAGGACGTGGACGCGCCAGAGCTGCCAGGGAAGTGTGGCTACTGCCATCGGGAGCGAAGCCTGCAGCCAGTGCGACAGCCGGGACCAGGCGAGTCTGGCTGCTGGGCCCTCTGGCATTGCAGCGGGTACTCTGGCTCGAAGTGCAAGAGGGTATACACCAAGCACTGCAGTGGCACCTGCTCGATGTGCAAGACAACGCTGGAGAAGTTCCTGTGGTGCCTGGCCGGCGAGCTAGTGCAGCCGGCGCTGCCGTCTCAGACAGTATGTGAGGACTCCCTGGTGAAGGTCGAGGATGACCCTCCGGAGGAGCCCCTGGATGAATCCTTGGCGGCTTTGGAGCCAGTGGCGGGCTCCCTGCAAGTCTGTATGCGCTTCATGGAGAGGGAGATGGACAAGAACCGAGTCTTCACCATGACCTTCCTGAAGCAGCTGTCCCAGAGCTTCCAGACCACAGTGCAGGAGCTGGCGTCGGCCTTCCAGACCACGGCGGCTAAGCTGCGTGACTAGCTGAAGATGCCGCTTGCAGTCGCGGAGCCTGTCGTGCTGCGCCGCCCGGCGGCCAATACTGGCCTCTGAGCTCTTTTCAGCTCGGCGCGCATCTTTTCCTGTAACTCGACATTGCGTGCCCAGAGACTCGAGAACGTCAGGCGACTTTCTGACCTGAATTTGAAAAGACGATGTCGCGTCGGCCAAAGAAACCGTAAGCGTCCATGCCTTTGTGCTTGCTGCTTCTCTTTTATTCATGCTTCCCTCTTCAGCCACAATCCTCATCCGCTAAGTTTCGGACCGGGATGTCGCAGGAGGGATGTCGCAGAGTTTTTTGGCTTTAAGAAGCCCACCCGAAGTAGCAGCAAATGGAGCTTCAGCTTGAAGGTGGTGATGGCATGTAGCACTTGGACTCTTGGGACTGATTGATGCTGCTGGATGCGGGGTTGGAAACACTGTGAGCAGTTTACATCTTCATGTTTTCGCAAAAGGTGTGCAGACTTGATGTCTCCTGACAAAAGGCATCATCTATGTTGATGCTTGGAGATATCCACGGCCTCCTGCAGCAGCAGGCAACTTTCGGTGCTGTGTTTGTGCTGATGTGCTTTGGTTTGGGCTTGCCCCTGCGACTATGCAGGATGCTGCGATGCGCCACTACAAAGAGGCAGGCGGTTGCTACTTCAGAGCTCGTATCCCGCGAGTGTTGCAGTGTCGCATGGCAACGTTGCTGATCATGTGCCCAGCGTACATGCGTGATCTCGCCACTGCATGGCAGGCGTTAGCCATCTTCAAGGAGGTAGGTGATCACAGTTGAGACCTTAACTTGAGGCAGCCGAGGCAGATCGAGACACATGAAGTTGTGATTTTCATCGAGGCTTCTGCGGCTGCACGCGGCACAAGCTTTCCAAGGCTGGCCGCAGCTGTGCAGAGTTCTTGTACGTTGCCTCGCGACATTTTCCTTAGTGCTTTTGCTCGACCTGTCCAGGCCTACATGATGAAAGGTCAGTTCCTTAGAGCAGCCCCAGCTGCTCAGAGAGCCATCGACAGCTACAAGGCAGCAGTGGAGCAAATCTTGCATTGCGCTTGCCGGCACCAGCTTGGCACCTGCCTGATGATGCGCCTTCGACACGTTGAAGTCTTGTCTTACCCTCATGAGCACCGCCGAAGCAAGCAGGCTGCCGGCCAGAACGACCAGGCGCAGGGCGACTGCTGGATCACCCTGGCAGAGGTCAGACCACAAACAGGGCGCAATACAACGGAGCTCTGCTTTGAACACTTATAAGACAGGGCAGTGGAGTAGAGGCAGTGCAGTGCATCGGAGCCCAGTGCAGGCCCAAAGCCAGGCAGCGGACATTCCCAAAGTTCAGGAGTCCATTGCGCAGGCTCTGTTCTGATTGCCCTGTCTCACCTCATGATACATGGTGCCACGACCCAGCATGACATGCAGTGATGCACGCAATGTGACATATGTGTCAAGGGCTACGTGTGCTCAAGCAAAACCGACCCTTCACCTGACCGACCTAGATGCGCATGTGGAGAGGCTAGAACAATCTTTGCCGACATCCAGGATGTTGCGTCCGAGGTCCCCTTGACAACGCATCTGTAAGCTTCTTTTCTTCCTCACTGGTGGAATAGTCATGGTCCTGACGGTGTCCCAGTCCTCAGACATTGGCTTCTGACAGGCTAAGGCCATGGGCGTTCTAGTGAAGGCGTACATGCAAAACGGTCCAGACCTCAGTACCTAAAAGGCGAGATTCCAGTTTACATGTTCCAACCTGGGCTTCAAAGCAGGCTCCCCGAAACTTAAAGGGAGCTGCTGAACTTCTGAGGTTTCAGTGATTCGGGCATCTGACCCGTACATTTTGTCACACATCACTGTGTGTTCTTGTTTATTGGCGTGTGTGGGGCGTGCGCGAGCCGCGTTTAGGAGTTTGATGGTGTAACAGGCGATTTAGTGGCTGGCTCCTTGGAGCATTTTGGGGCCTCTTTGGGCACTGGAACTGTTTAGAGTTGGCGGGCGTTTTCAAGGCGGTTTAGAGGCTCTGGAGGCTCGTTTCGGGGCTGGCAAAACCTTCGCAGATGCTTTGGCGCCCGAGTTCCGCGCTTGCAAAACGCTCGCAAATGCCGTGGTGCGCGAATTCCAGCATGTTCCACAACTGCGTAAATACCAAGGTGACCAGGACAACTCCGTGCTTGCAAAACCCCTTGCAAACGATGATGGAATTCTGTGGTTGCAAAACCCTCACGGATATCGTCGTCAAAAATCTCGCCACCTGCAAGACCCTTGCCCATACCGTGGTACCCAAATTTCGCGCTGGCCAAAACCTGTGAGTTATTTCGCCCACCTTCCACCACTCTCCGATGTGGGAGCCACTCGTGCTTGCAAAGCCCACAAAAGTGATTGCGGCGACATGCTGTGACGGAATTCTACACTTGCAAAAGCTGGGCAGATATGGGTTTATACGGTATGGAAAAGCCGTTTTGCTTTATCTTGAAAATGGTTTGTATTCTGTAGTTTTTCATCTCTCTCCACCTTCTGGGTTTAAGCTGTCTGCGTACGCTTTCCTTTCATTGGCATCGTGCAATCCGCCCGCGTCGAGAAGCGCATCGCGTACGACACATCTGAGCTCTCATGCACTGCTAGCAGTTTTCGTCACAGTTTTGTGTGGTTATCTAGTCCTTTACTGTTCAGCTTTCGGCTGTCGCGATTCTGTACCTGCACCCCTAGATTCACCGGCGGAAGCGGTGGACGTCGCCAAGCAAGTGGTGACGCGATTCCGTGAGGTAGGGGCCCCTGGACAAGTGTTGAGCGACGTATCGCGCGTGAGAATCTTGTGCTGGTTGCCATGTGCTCTTTGCCAGGCTGGTGATCACCACGGAGAATGCCAGGCATTGTTGCAGTGGGCTTAAGATGGCTTAGGTCTCAAGTGCGTCTGGAGAGTACTGTGCCATTGTGGAAAGACCAATTCAGCTTCGGTGGCGGTTCCGGAAGTTTCCAAGAGTCTCCAAGGTCCCTAGCCAAGCTCCTCCTGCCCTTGGACCCCGAGAAAGCAGAGAGGATTGCTTCGGCCGTGCTGGGCTTTGTCTTCAGAGAAAAGCTGCAGGGGCGAAGTGGACGAGAGCAGGGCAGCGACAGCAGTGCTTGGAAGATGTTCGAAGAAGCGTGCCCTAGGCGATGGACCTCATGCGAGGCCTTGGCATGAGCAATCAGCTCGAAGAGTGCAAGGATGTCAAGGCCCATTCTCGGCTTGGCACATCGGAAGAGTTCAAAGGTCAGGGATGCCTTCTTTAGATTCACCTTTCTAAACCCTTGCGCTTCAGTGCCGCAGGCTCGGTGCGACCACGCGAAGGCAGCGGCCGAGGTTGAAGCGAAGATCTGGAAACGCAGCGACTTCATGCACGTGTCCGAGTCTTACGCGACCGTTTGCAGCTTGGTGATTTTCAGGCAAGTGCATGAGCACGAAAGGCTGTTGAAAGACTGCGGGTTTGGCAGGCCGAGATCGCTTATCGTCGATCCTGGCTGCCGCTAGCTACTGAGCAGGGTGAGGACAGGTCCTGCTGTCTAGAGTGTCTTCACAGGCTCCTAAACCAGATGTGAGGCAGTAGAACCAAGAAAGCTGAAAGAATGGTTCTAAGGTGGGAGACTGCAAAACGAGTTCTTGGAGTTTGCCAAGGTGCACCAATGCTTCCAAAGCTCAGAATGTAGTGATCGCGAGGGTCCGTCGGTGTCGATTTCTGGCGTGATAAAGTTCTCGTGCATATCGTATGCCCTGAATGACGACTTCCTCGCAACATCTCGCAACTATCGGGCCAGATGCATGGTTCGCGTGATCATGTTTTAAGCTTGGACCAGGAGAACATGTTGATCAACTAGATGTATCACACCCCGACAGTCGCAATGCTTCGCATGCGTGGTCGGGGCCTGTAGTGCATTGTAGTGCTTCGGATGTTTGTGGCGAATCGGGTCTGCCACTGCTACCATGCTTTTGTTGTCTGCCTCGTAGCCGTCATGCACTCATGACTGAATCAGTTTGGCTGGAGGCAGCATGAGCAGTGAACTTGCAGCGGTGCTCGCTGTGGGTGAGTGAGCGGGCAACAGTGTCCCGCTTTTGCGGGACGGCTTCTTCCGCGTCGCGGCGGTGTCAAGCAAAAAGGTGTGCGCGGCTCTCCTGGTGTGCCTAAGATGCCATGAAACCTCACCTTGTGCAGCGCATTCGAACAAGTCGACGACCATGTCCAAGAGCCGGAAGCGATGGGCGACCGGAAGTGGGCATGATGCATTTCGTGAAGAAGAACATGTCTTGGGATTGAATCTTAGACAGGGTGAACGACGTGGATGACAGTGGAGAACGGCAAACCATACATCCTTACGTCAGCCAGAGTGTATTCCTGAAGCAGAAGTAACATGGAAACGGCAGAACCTTCGAGATTCCTTGGCTTCCAGCGCTGGTTGCCCTGCTACGTTCATGGCTTTGCCTGAGCTGCCCCAACTGCGCGCCTAGGTCTGCAATGGTTTTTCTGGGCATGTCACGATGAATGGTCTGGATTCATGATGGTTCTTGTGCATGTCAGGACGCTGACTTGCTTGAAGCAGCAGCATTTGCCGGAACGCAATGTGCTTAGGCACATATGTCTTCGGCCGTTTGGATGAGAAGAATCGCAGAGACCTACCAGGTGCCAAGAAGAGGTCTCAAAGAGCCCGCATTCATCAGGACCCTTCCTTGCATCTTGATGCGTCACTTGACGAGTTCAAGCTTCAGGCGTCTGTTCCTGCTTATCTGGATGCCAGGAGGAAGACATGCAGATCCGCTTCATGCATGGCGTCTTGGGCAGTGGGAAGACCGTTTTCGGATCTTCCGTTCTGGTACACGTGGCAGCTTTGCTTCAAGATGGGATTGTTCGCAGCGACGCCGTGCAAATGCGGATTGTTCTGATGCTGCCAGAATATGCAAGGGTGATGTGTTTTGCTTGGACGGTGGCTTGAGCCTTGCTGGATGCTTCTGAGTCTAAGGACAACTTGCACGAGTACGGCCTGAATTTGTTGAGACAAGGAGCTCTGACCCTAAACCCTAAACCCTAAAGCCTAAACCCTAAACCCTAAAGCCTAAACCCTAAACCCTAAACCCTATACCCTAAACTCTACGTGCATATCTCTGGGCAGTTTTGCCCGGTGGCAGCCTTGCAGACATCCAGGACGGTTGCCTGAAGCCGAGCATGCCTTCTTCAAGGTCAGCCAGCTTGCTTCCAAACAGAGGGGTACCCTCTTGGAGGGTTCCTCTAAGGGGATTCTATTCTATTCTATTTGGGGTATAAAAGGGGGTACCCCCTATGTTGGGAAAGCTGGCTGTTTCCTACAAACAACTGCTAGCTGCAGTGGGTGGCGGTCTTGCTTCTGGGCATGCAGAAGTATGCAGAGCAATAGAGTTGCTATGTGAATCTGCTGCATCTGATGTATCCTGACTTGACCTCCAATGTCGCAACTACACCCTCCACCCTACACCCTACACCCTGCACCCTAAACCCTGAACCCTGAACCCCGAACCCCGAACCCTGAACCCTGAACCCTAAACCCTAAACCCTAAACCCTAAACCCTAAACCCTAAACCCTAAACCCTAAACCCTAAACCCTAAACCCTAAACCTGACCAGGCCTGGGAGAGCCGCGCCGCGCGGCTGGGTGCAGACCACCCGATGGTGCACCAGTCGCTGCGGGAGTGCGCCCCAGCTCAGGAGGAGCAGACGAAACCCTAAGCCTAGGGGGTTTAGGGGTTTAGGGGTTTAGGGGTTTAGGGGTTTAGGGGTTGAGGGGTTGAGGGGGCTGAGGGGGTTGAGGGGGCTGAGGGGGTTGAGGGGGCTGAGCGGGTTGAGGGGGTAGAGGGGGTTGAGGGGTTAGGGGTTGGGGTACTAAGCCCCAAACTCCAGAACAATGCTTGGGGTTGAGCCTAAGGCCTGCAAACCTCAAATTCAACACAACTGTGGAAGTCCCCAAGCCCTAAGCATTAAAAGCCTTAGAACCACTTCTCAGCTTTTAGACTCCGAGAAGACCCTCAACAAGGTGCCGAGGCAAGGCGGCGGCGGGGCAAGGCAGCTGAAGCCGAGGTGCAGACTTTTTAAGAGAGAAAGGCAATGAATAGGGTTTAGGGTTGTTTAGGGTTTAGGGTTTAGGGTTTTTGACAGGCCGTTCAGGTTTTAGAGGTGACCGGCTACCGGCCTTGAGTTCCCCCCACCGTTCCCCTTTTTCCCTGGTGTACCCCTTTGTGGGTCCCCCACCCCCCCCCATTGCTCACCTTTCCTGAGGGTTTGTGTTCAACGTTGAGGTTTGATTTGTTGTGGCATTGGGCATGGGAGGGAGAACCAAGAGAGCATAGAGAACGCATGCTTCTGATCCACAGCAGCGCTGCCTCACATCCATTAAATGAAGTTCGAAAGTAGAGTGAGAAACTGCCGTTTTCGCAAACGCAAGCGGCCTCGTCATGCAGGCAATTCTGCAAGATCATTTGTGTCACGGTGCCTCGACTGCAGTCACCCGGGAGTTTGGTAAAGAGGAAATGGCTGTGCAAGCTGCCTCCCCATACACAAAGTTAGCCTAGTTTGTGTGGCACCTTGTGACAAGGCTACCACCAGCGTCATCCGCATCGCGGAAACGCGACGCTGAGCACCTCCTGCCTGCACACAGCAGCAGCCTGGTCGCAGGGCCCTACGTATCCCATCGTACACCTCATGGCAACTGCTGAACGTCTTTCCAAACCTTGGAAAGATGTTTGTAAGGCGCATGCTTGACTTGCCCACAGTTCACAGCATTTCATAGGGGTATTATGTATGTTGCCCTGCCTATACAGTCTATACATACATGATGTGCCTGGCTGCTGAGACGACACCGAAGAACCCCCGCGCCGAACGCGGCTCCGACTTCCCGACGCCCGCTTCTGCCTTACCTTCTGCCTCACCGGCAGACGTGCGGGGTTCGAGATGTGGTCTGATGTGGTTGTTGGGCTGGTGTCCGCTGCGAAGTTTCGAACTTGGTCTGCAGTGCTCGCACAGGCGAAGATGCAGACAAAGCAGTTCGTTCCTTGTGGGCTCTGAGCTTGCAACGTTGACCTTTGCTGAGGATCCTGGGCCCTGGCGTGGAGATGAGACTCTCGTCCGGAGGCGCCCACACACACCACCAAATGACCACCACATAACCTCTCCATTCATGGTACCCGAACCAGGATCAATGTTGCCGGTTGCGTCGCTAGTCACTAGCGCTGGGTGAAGGCTTGCCGCGAGACTGGCAATTGGGCCTTTTGCCACTAGCCCAGACTCCCGAGCCTACGCAGGAGCTTCAGCATGAGTGCGGAGATTCGGCGAAGCCCAACGGCAACGTTGAAGCTGCTGCAAACGGCAGGGAGCTAGCCACCACTCGTCTCGGCTGCCTGGCGTTTGACATTATATTCAGCTAGCAAGCGTAGAGGAGGAGCGATAGCCACTCCTACTTTCCCGGGTGACAGGCTGTAGGCAGGCCACCCGCGCATGATGTGCTTTCGTAATCATACGGCCGAGCAAATCTACTTAGCTTTGGACTTGAATAGATATGTACAGAACCATCGGCTTCCGGCAACATAAGCATTAGGGGTTCATGGTGGGTTCTCCAGCACTTGTTCCATGATGTGTTGCAACTTTGTTATGTTTGTCGTCTCAGTGACTGAGCTCCTGAGAGGCACCCACTAAAGACGAGCCCAAAAGGGACGCAAGCACGGAGAGTTCTCGAAAGGTTCTGCCCCAGCCCCCGACTTCCGAAGGTCACATGAAGAAACCCACAGCCGTCCCGAGCCCTGAGCCCAGCTTTCCCAGTTTCCCCGTATGAACCTCTTGAGGACATTCAAGGACGGTGACGCCTCTTGAAAAGATGCGTGATCAAAACGATGCCGGTTCCATCAACTGAAGACTTGGAAATCTGCCACTGATACTCTTATCTTGCCGATACCAAGGGCAACTATTTGTGTGTGTGTGTGTGTGTCTCTCTGTGTGTGTGTGTGTGCGTGGGTGGTGTGTGTGTGTGTGTGTGTGTGTGTGTCTGTGTCTGTGTCTGTGTCTGTGTCTGTGTCTGTGTCTGTGTCTGTGTGTGTCTGTGTGTGTGTGTGTGTGTGTGTGTGTGTGTGTGTGTGTGTGTGTGTGTGCGTGTGTGTGCGTGTGTGTGTGTGTGTGTGTGTGTGTGGTGTGTGTGTGTGTGTGTGTGTGTGTGTGTGTGTGTGTGTGTGTGTGTGTGTGTGTGTGTGTGTGTGTGTGTGTGTGTGTGTGTGTGTGTGTGTGGTGTGTGTGTGTGTGTGTCTCTGTGTGTGTCTCTGTGTGTGTGTGTGTGTGTGTCTCTGTGTGTGTGTGACCATGTTTACAGTTGCCAAGCTTGTCAGGACTTTCGGAGGGAGAGACGTTTGATGGTGGTATCCGCTTATCCACTTCATGCACTCTCGGACTATCCTTGGAGATGAGAGACAAGCTTGAAACTCTTCCGATGTGACTTTTGCATACCATAGTAGAGCAGTAGCAAAGAAGCTCCATGACCGAAACTAACCTGGTTCGTCATGCAAGGATGCCCAGACGCCAACCCTCCGTCAAAAGACAAGGGTGAAGAGAAGGAGAAGAAGCCTGCAACACTTCCGCTAGAAGTGATCTGCCTGGCCCTTGGCTCAACGCGGCATTTGCCGCATCTGCCGTGGCTTCCTGGGCAAACCAAATGCTGCGCAGTGCGACTGCCAAGGCACCGGACTTTCAGACTTAGTTGTTTTATGAGGAAGGAACGACCGTGTGCGTTGTCCAGGGGCCTTAGTCAATGGGCACGAGTATCTGTCACCAGATGGCCTAGTTTTTCAGCGGCACCGTGCTGAGGTCGGGGTTTGCTTTTGCGGTGGCATGTGCTGCTGTGCATGTAAGGACCCCCGAAGCCCTAAGCAGTACATGCTCACACCCGAAGCTTGGGGCCCAACAAGCTGCGGGCAATCCTGAGCTAAGTGAGGACAATGTCGGAGCATGCTACACCCCCCCAAGTAGGAGCCTTTGCCATAGGCGCAGGTGATCAGAGGCTGGAAAAACTGAGCAACAAATGGCCAGCCGCGGCTCCCGCTGGCTGTGTACATCTGTGTACGCTCCGTGCATCTCCATGCAAATTGAAATGGCCCATGTGAGTGGGGCACACCCTGCATTGTCTGCTTGCATGTCCGACAAATGTCTGCAATAGTAATGCCTGACGAATGTGAAGTTTCGTCCGGAGGTCGCGCCTTGCGAGCTGCCCCTGAATGGCAGCGGACTTGCTCAGATGTGATCAAGGCCGGCTGTTGCCTCGTGGTCATTGATTCTCCTGGTGCCCTACCCTAAACCCCTAACCCCTAAACCCTAAACCCTAAACCCTAAACTCTATGCTCTAGTCAGCTCTAGTCACTTTATCTAGTCCATGACTTGTGACCGGAGTCTGGAGGGCTGGAAAGGGCGAACTCTCCCCAAATCCGAGAAGTCTTGTCTGGGAGTTCCTGCTTGGGCAGGCATCGATGCTGGTAATGGGGCTCCAGCCCGTGAGGCCCACCGTTCGGAGAAATCAGTCAGAAGTCTTTGCAGGTGTCGGGTTTCCGAAATTCGGGGTACTGTACCTTACTAAAAGGGAGTCCGATTATTTTGGGGTTTATGTTAGGGGTCCCCGATTGTCGGAAACCCCCAAGAATCTCTGACAGTGGTTTCATTCCGTCGAAGAATGCTCCCGGTTGTTGGCAGGGGCCGAAATTCCCAAGTCCCAGCACCCTGAACCCAAACTCAGCATGTTGAGTCCACTACCAACACAGATGCTGAAACTCAGCGAGCCTATGAAGATCCACTTAGAACAAAAGTATGTGCCTTGTTGGGTCTCGTTTGTAACGATGAACGAGCACTTGAAACGCTCCTCTACGTTAGATGAGCCCCCCCCATTAACATTCTAACACCTAAACCCTAAACCCTGAACCCTTAACCCTAAACCTGATAAACCCTAAACCCTAAACCTTATAAACCCTAAACCCTGAACCCTAAACCCTAAACCCTTTAAAAATCCCTGAACCTCAGGAGCCCCAAGAGCGGCGGATGCACTCCATGCCATCCCTGAGGACAGGGCGGAGAGTTCAGGGCTGTTTTAGGGTTTAGGGTTTGGGAGGCTTTTTGGGGGCTAGTGCCCAGCTGGGGTCCAGGGCCCATGCGACAAGGCTGGTTGAAGTGCGTTGAAGTCTTCAACCCGGACCTCCGACTCAAAGCCTTCTAAAGTGACTTCAAGGTTCTGAGCAAGCAAGTCTACCAGAGGCTCACGAAAAGCGAGGCGGCGTTGCCTCGACGAGCGGCCTGGTCCCAAGAATATCCAGCCCGGTGCTATCTGGTACCGGGGTGGTATCTGGTGGATGAGCCGAGTAGAACTCATAGTGAGGTTCGAATACCGCCACGGTTGTCGGTTGCAGCATGCAATTACCCTGTTTATGCAGCAAAGTATTGCCACATCTCACATCACCCGGAGAAGTTCCACAGTTCCACAGTTCAACGCTTCAGACTCTCCAGGCCTCTAAGCCGCCGCAGCGTCGGCACAGCGACAAAGAAGAGCGGGCTCGCAGCGTTCTCAGAGATGTGAAGGTGTGATGTCCACAGGCATGCGCAGACACGGAACCGGTACTTGCCGTTGGGGCATGGCGTAGTTACGCAGATTTCCCCGAGGCACAAGCAGCACGGTGGTTCCGACTCTCACATGGCCGCGCCCTGTGGAGAAGGCTACATGCATGCGCAGGGCTTCCCGGCAGTCTCACCAAACCGAACCGAAGCCGCCCGCACCATAAATTTTTAAAGCCTATGCGACCCACCTCGGCCTGGGCCTGTCCAGCGGCGAGGCAACCGCAACTGGGGTGTGAAGGTGCTGTTAGGCTTCACGGGTTTGAGAGGCTTCCCTTGTGGGGATCCTGTTGTAACACGCAGGCTCATGTCTGGACCCCAAATGTGGGTGGTAGAACAAGAAAAACAAGCAGGAGAGGGGTGGGTGGGAGAGGGTGGGTGGCCGAGAGGGGATGAGGTCCTGCTTTATGCTACCAAGACACCTATGGCCCGAGGCCTCGGCGGACATGCCGGGAGTGATTCCCAATGGTCTCCGATGGTCTCCCAATTCCTGCAGGCACATCCGTCGACGCGCAGTTCATCACCCTTTGCAGCGCCAAGGCCCGGCTATCAACAACACTGTGATAACACCCTTGCTCTGACGAGCTAGACTGGCTCCAAGCTGCATATGAACGATCCACATGGCACTCCATAACTCGCACATCGCGCATGCGGTCAGCGTCGAAGATCTCATCCTTTCCGCAACACGGCGAAACAATTCTCAAAGAATTGAACAGAGTCGGATCTGGCCAGGCTCCACGACCCCCGACGCCCTGTGAAGAGCCCATATAAAACTTCACGAACATCCCAAACGACAAGATCCCTCCAGCTCTCGCAAGCCCTCGAGAGTCCTCGGCTCCGTGTTACTCCTTTGAGGAACTTTCGCATTCAGCCCCCAAACCAAGATACGGCTCATAAAGGGGCCCTTTTCTGCCAAGGCCTCGGAGGCGGCGCAGCGACACTCGGAGCGGTTCCGAGGTGCCTGGCATATTGGGTGCAAGGGAGTGCAAGGGTTGGCTCTGAGCCGGAGGATGGGATTGTTTCGCGATTGGCTGGCAGCAGTTTGCGTTAAGCGCTTACGTAGTGGAAACTTCACTGTTTGTGACGTGTGATGTTTTCGAGTTTGAGTTTCAGGGCTCACTCCAGCGTCATTATGGCTTGCTTTGTGGCACGTGTCGTTGGCTACTGAAAGCATTGGGCGATCAGCCTTGCTCGAGGGCATACGGCTGCAGTGGGAAGTTGTGCCATGTTTTGAATCCGCGTTCGATGTCGCTGGCAGGCGTACTGCATACATTCAACAATTGAGGTAAAGGCAGCGGGCGCAGAAAGGAAGAGCAACGCGCCCCCCCCCCCGCCCCCCACCCACCCAAAAAAGTGCCGGCGGGGTCAGGGGTACTGCGGGAAGGGGGGTACCTCCTTCACGCTTCCCAGACCTTCGGCCCGAGGCTTCGGCGGATGTCTTATGAGAGCCTCTCATCCTGCACGTGTGAGTCAGGCCTCCCTCCCGTCCAGCGAGGAAGTCCCTGGTCTTCAGGCTCTGAGAGCTTTGCTGCGAACTTCTGCACGGGTGGAGAGCCGACGAAATCTGCCGAATCCCAGGAGGCCTTCTTTAGAATTTGCTCCGCGAGCCGCAGCGAAGTATGCCAGCTCCTCAACCGTGGGCTTGGCGAGGGAAAGGCCGTCTTTCGGCTCTTCGGTGGGCCCTCCCTATTCCCTAGGCCGTCTATAGCACCACTAAGGGCAAAATCACAGCCACAGGGCGCAAGTGAACGCAGCAATTTAGCCTTGGTGGGATTTGATGCCCAGGCCGCCCGGGTATGGACAGCCGCCAGTTCGACAAGTTTTGTCGCGAAGCAGGATACATCGATGCTAAGTCGTGGCCTGTGGCTCCAAGCACTGAAGCTGTGCTCTGCCTCGCGGTTTGTCACGATTCAAGATGCCACGGGTCAACTCCCAGAGGCAAGAGAGCTAGACAAAAACATTTTTTCGTGCAGTGGCAGCCAAGGTTCACCACAGCGGATGCGGATCTGCTGTTCACGACTATCACGCCGGGCTCCCAGCACGTCGACGACAGCAGAGAAAGAGAACGAACGAGAGCAATGCATGCACAGCCGCAAATGTGCCAATGCACAGCAGACTCTGAATCCTTTTTGCAGGGCTCGGGGCCCGCGGCGACTGAGCTCCGGGCAGTTCGAGGCCGCCTTGAGGCAGACACGGGCGGAACAACGGGGAGGGGTGGTTCTGAAGGGTTCATGGAGTGGGTTTACGTCCCCTGTGTCCGTGGGATACCCCGGTTCTTGCGAGGCTACTGGCAGACCGAAAGCGTTTGTCCTTGGACTCTGTGTTCGCCAAGGCGCTTCGCAAACACTTGGTGAGTTTCTTAGATTGACGCCATGCGGACTTCCCGCAGGTGAAGAAGTTGGCTGCATCGTTCGCGCCTTAGTGCGAGGATGGTGTTCTGGCGTTCTGAACTCCAGCCCCATTGGATTCATCGGATGGCCCATGTCAAGGAGCGCCGAGGGATGCGTGGAGCGACGGCCAGAATGTCCAGGAAGATGACTCAGATTTGCAGCTTCTGGGCAAGGGCTCGAAGGCTTTTCCGGTGCTCCCTCAAAGGATGAGAGACATTTATGGCATTTCTGGGCTGAGACTGTGAGCAGCGGTTGAAGACCGTTTGGGCTCCTGGGGTTGGGTTCCAATGTGAGATGGGTTTTAGATCCTTGGGTTTGCATGTGGCCAATGCAATGCCGCAATGGCAACGCGCAGTTCTGCGCCTTCGGGTTCGGGTCTGTGCGGTTCATGTAGCTGGCTCTAGTTTTTATACATTGTGCTGATGTGGTAGCTCCAATCATGAAGGCAAACTTTCTATCTTCCTGACGCTGCGATGTTTTGATAGCTCGTGTCGCCATCTCTGCCCAATCGGTAAGCAGCCGCAAGGCTGTCGAAGTTCACAGTCCTGAGTTGGAGTTGGGATTCTTCCGAAGCACCTGGCTCCCAGGCAGCACCAGCCTGCCTGAACCTGCGCCACAGGCTCAGCAACCAGCATGCAGGCCCCAGATGCGCAGCAGCTGGAAGAGTGCTAGGACTGCTGGAGCGCATGGTGCAGCCACTCCAGCTGCACTTGGCCTACACACAATGCCAAGGCAGCGCAGTCGTGCGCAGAGCTCGCCGCCCAGCGATGGTCGGGGGCCTGCTTCTCGTGAGGCTTGGGAACTGACAAAGTGGATGACGCTTCATTGAACCACCAATTGTCGTGTCAGACATGTGAAGTCGCGGCAACGGCCCCAACATACGGTGCCACGTCAGGGGTGGTTCTATCCGCTGGACAACGGATACCTTCCCAGTGTCAAACGCCACAGCAAGCGCCCCGGATGAGCCACAGCTTAAATCAGCTTAATCCTGCATGAGAGGTGGTGCCATGACATGACGAGCAGAACTTAACACTCAAACTCTTTGTTTTGCATGTGCCAGGCCTTGGAGTGGATGGTGCTGAGCGGGAGCCCATTCCTGAGCCGAAATCTTGAACGTGAGAGCCGACAGCAACTCAGTACCACAAAAAGCTCAGTAGATTCCCTAGGCACCAAACGGCGAGAACGGTTTTTTCGGCGTAGACGCCGAACAGGGTAAGACGCATCAAACGCGTTCCAAGATCACCGGGAGCACATCCAAAAGGACCACGTTAAACCTAAAGCGCTCCGCTTGAAGCTACTGTATGCTCTAAAGCTCGCAAGCGGAACCGAGTGCAAATGACACCTGTTGCACTCCGGGGTCTTTCGTTAAACCGACGTACGGCTAACAATCCAACTTGCGCAGTCGGGTCACGTTTTACGAGCTCCTGCCGGCCCCACGTGCGATATCCTCCTCGAACGGGGAACAGGTATACCGGTATACCCCTAATTGTGCACAAACGGAGGGTTGGATAACCACGAGCTAATTAATTGGCAATTAAAGTCATGCAATCGACGCGTATGCTTTTCTGCATCGAGGCATCGTTTTGATGCCAACAGCCGTGCGCCATGGAAAGAGATCATGTGATGTGTAAAATTTCTACCCACAGCGGCGTGATGCCTTGTTATTGCACTGAATGCCCAATGCGGGGAAGCTGCTGTAGGCTGTTTAAGGGCTTCCAGCGGACTGTCGGCGCCGTGGCGCATGCTCTGGAGTGGCCCGAGATGGCCTGAGAGGTGATGCGATACTGGCGGCGGTACCGGCGGCACCTCTTTTTTTGTACAAGTAAGTGACAGTATGTGTCCATTCGGATGTTCACGGTTGCGTCGCCGAAGCGTTTAGGAAACTTTAGGCGGTAACGATGCTGCTTGCAGGGTTGGGGTCTAGCATGTCCCGAGGTTGTTACTCGACAGCTTCGTGAGCTTCTGCTGGGCGCGCAGCTGAGTGCATTGAGTGCCCACAAGGGCCAGTACTTGCAAAGAAGCATAGGCGTGGTTTCGTGTGACATCATCCCATGTTTGACCTCAGAATGTTTGACAAGCCCCTAAGATGGTCACGCTGTTGTCATGTTCGAATCGCAGGGGAAGCCTGATATGAGCAATCGCGACTTCTTGCGTCTTTGCCAGAACCTCAGATGCATCCCCGCAGCGTGAGTTCGATGATTCAACTTCAATTGTGAGGGGCAATGCTTGTCAGTCAGAGTGTCGAAGAAAGCCACTACACAAGATGGTTCGCAGAGGTCGCGACTGTCGGCTTCTGAGCAGCAGGCCGCACAGTTCGGTTGCATAGTTACCTAAGCAGTTGCAGTTTGGGTGTGACGATACCAATGTTACACCATTGCTGTTGTTCTCCAACATGGCACATGTGTCCTCCCAATGTGGTGTCCTCTTGCCTTTCCAGGAGGTCAAGGTTCAACATATTCGGTAGCCTGTGAGGTTTGCATCGTGTCTCAATGCCACAAAAACAAGAGTGCAGGATGTGCTCACTTGCTCTGATGTTCGAGAAATAGTCCAACTATTTCTGCCACAGGTTTACAGCCTTGGACGCCGACCTCCTGTTTGTGAAGGCTTGGCTGTCGAGCTACTGCTGCAGGTTTCGGCATGAGGTGAGGCAAGACTGATATGCGCCAGCCAGAAGTAAAACCGGTTAAAGTAGCTCGAAGTTCTTTCATTACGTTCAGGTGCTTCCAAAGGGGCAGCGCCGGCTCAAGTTCGAGGACTTTGAGGTGCAATGAGACAACAACACAGAATTCTGTCTCTCTCTGTGTGTGTGTGTGCGACTTGCGAAAGGCAAATCAAAGTGCAGTGGCATGCAGAGACTGCTTGTGGGTTCTGAGCGTTCCACTGTTCGGGCCGTTTTCTACTGTGTGACGCATCACGTCGTGCACGCTGGAACGGGCGTGTGCTCAGAAGTCGTGCTGCAGGTTGCTTTGATGGACGCAGCAGTGAGAAAGAAAGTCTCAGAGAGTGGCGCGCTTGGTTTTGGCGGGGAGTGCAAAGGTCTTGGAGTACTGAGTACCTAGACATCATCATGATGCCAGATTGCTGAGCCGTGGGAATAGGTGCCACATTGAGTAATTGCTGTCAGTTCTTGTTGCTTTTCGACGTGTTGCATTTTGGGACAAGCAAGCTAGCCCAAAGCCCGTCAAAGCTCATCAAAGCCCGGCAAAGTGCAGCAAAGCCCAGCAGAGCTGGACACCTGCACGCTCAGGTGACATTCGCCGAGCCATTGCGTTTTGCCACGGTCCTTTCGCAGAGACCTTAGCCTTCACGCTTGCCAGTGCTCATAAGAGTTTGATCAAGCTCTGCTTGCCGATAGTCACAGCTGGAATTGCGGTGGCGAGTAGCATAGCTTTTCCGGGGGGAAGACAACTGCAGCTCTACTACCTGTAGATCGTTGCCATCTTCCGGTCCAGACAAGACTTCAGTGTGACATCCTGCATGCAATCAATCGCAAGAATCTTTGAGTTAGACAAACACAAGGAATCAGGTTGCAGACGCAAAAGCAACGAGACAATGTTGCATGGGCGTCAAGACTTCTCCGCCATGAGGTGCAAGCTACAGAGGCTGATACCGTTCGCCTTCATGACGACATCAGCAGCTACACAGGCCAGTTGCTTACACGCGAAGCCACACGCGAAGCCACGCGCGATGCCACTGGCAGCATTGTGTCTTCTACCACTTGGAGTGCGGGACAGCAACAAACTGGCCTGACATCCATGTAGGTTGTTGTTTTGCAAGTTCAGCGTCTAGATTTTCCAGGGTTGGTGTTTTGTTTTGGCATTATTGTTCTGCTTTATTCACAACTTATAGTACTTATTCTCAAAAAAGCAATATTAGTAGTAAAAAACAGAGTTATGCTGTTACCAATGTTCTTCTTGCTGTTAATAGTAGATGTAGTTGTAGTTGTGGTTATAGCGTCAAGACATGGCAGTAGTCTTGCGATTCAAACACCGATCTCCGAAGTGATGCATGCACCAGAGCTCTTGTCTACAGTGTTCAGTTCGCCACATTCCTGTCAGTGGGAAGCTGCCCTCATATTGCGACATCATCCTGCACGCAAGACGCTCTGCACATCCTTTGACAAGCCGCACGCCAGGCACTCACGTGCATGGAGGGCCCGAGCCAGCATCCCAGATCGGCATGAGAGTTGCTGGATCAGCTAGGGCCAAATCTCTAACGAAGGGCTTCAGAGAACTGACATGGGCATCTCAGGTCAGGAGGCTTGGGATTCGGCACGGTGGCGCAGATATGGCAGTCCCAGCACGTTTTCAGTGGGGCATGTGTTGCATCCTTTGCAATCTGGGGTCTAGGATATTGGGGGTACCTTTTTCTTGGGTTCCTTGTTATAAGGGGTCCTTATTCAGAGGGGATCCGACTATTTGGCGGTCTATAGTAGTCCCTTATTATCCTAAACCCCCATCCCCTGCCGGCTCCGCATTGTGCTTTGCCAAGTAAAAAGCTGCAAGAGATTGAAAGATGCCGCCACTGGGCATCTTGCAGAACAAGCCGAGAGATGTGCACTGAGCTGCTTGGCACCCTGTGCCCAGGTGATGGCACCTCGGCCAGTGGAACCTGGTGGCAGTGAGCCTCCACTGGCAGTCCTAGCAACTGTTGACTTAGACGAGCTGGGATGGTCAAACCATGCTGCCAAGGGCGTTTTCTCTCCGTTAGTGCTGGCCCTGCGGCGATGCTGATGCAGCTGCGAGGCCGATCCGAATCGCAGGCCACAAGCTTGTATAGGCAAGCACTTTCAAGATTCGAATCGGCCGCATGTTGTTAACATAAGCCTCCATTCGACACATTCGATGGGGTTAAGCCACCGGGAGCCCTGTGAGTCTTTGTCAAGATCCAGGTTTCGTGGGACAAACTTAATGAAGATGAAATTCTGGGAGCTCCCTGGACCTCCCTACAAACTCTTTGGATCGAATCAGCATAGGGATGATCTTCTCTGCCGGCTTCAGGAGAGGTCGGCTGTAGGATCATCCAGTAGGATTCATAGGTTTCTCAAAGATCTCCACTGGCAAAGCCAAGGAGTGCTTGCTTAAGCCAAGCTGCTACAACAGCAACCATACCACAAGCATGTCAAGCAACTGGCAGTGGCAACATGGGGCAACTGGTAGAAGATTAGTTGAAGGATGCCAAAGATAGGCCAAAGAGCTACAGGGTACACGGCATACCTTTTGATGTGTCGATGCTCTAGATTGTGTACAACGGATCGGAGCACCTCCTCAAGTCATCACATTTTGCCTTTGGCATTGACCTGGCAAACTTATGGGTCCATGCCCTGTACACATGGGACGGTGCTGCAGGAAGGAAGCTGACTGTGTGACCTGTTTAGTATCGTACTGAGTTCCAGATCAGCAGGACAACTGGCTACCTTGCTGAAGCAGAACATTATAGCGTCCGCCAGTAGTTGCGCACACAAGTTGCATGCGGGTGCTCAATCCGAACAGCTGCTTTGAAAGTTCCAAGTACCCTCCGAACCCTCTCGGCAAGTCTCGCCCTCATAGCAAGCAAAGTCAGAGAGAGAGAGAGAGTTCCGGGTGCACCGCAATCAGGTTGAGTAATGCTCAGGTCATAGTGGCGAAGGCGTTCGGTGTTTCGTGCAGATGGAGTCACGGGATGTCGATGACGCATGAGTGAAGGCCATGCACACCCATGCGACACCTGACACATCAGGCTCGCTGTTTTGCAGCAACATCTGTTGCCAGTCGAGAAGATGTTCGCCATTGACTTGACTTGTGGCAGAGAGCATGGGGCACTCAACAAATTGTGCAGCGGTCTCCAGGCTGAGACATCCGGTGAACCTGTCCAAGCGGCTTAACAAGCTGCCAAAGGTAATGAGACATCGGGGCTGACCCGACGCCAATCAGAGTTCGCTCCTGCAGAAAGAGCACTGCTGCTGTTGTTGTCCTTATTGTCCTTGTTGTTCTTGTCGTTCTTGTCGTTCTTGTCGTTCCTGTCGTTCCTGTCGTTCTTGTTGTTCTTGTTGTTCTTATTGTTCTTGTTGTTCTTGTTGTTCTTGTTGTTCTTTTTGTTCTTGTTGTTCTTGTTGTTCTTGTTGTTCTTGTTGTTCGTGTTGTTCTTGTTGTTCTTGTTGTTCGTGTTGTTCTTGTTGTTCTTGTTGTTCTTGTTGTTCTTGCTGTTCTTGCTGTTCTTGTTGTTCTTGTTGTTCTTGTTGTTCTTGTTGTTCTTGTTGTTCTTGTTGTTCTTGTTGTTCTTGTTGTAGGACATCGGACATTGTGTTGCTGCGCACTTCTTCTTGGCTCTGTTGAACACTTCTGTAGGCTATGTCAGCATCTTGCAACATGGCGCAGAGTGTCTCTGTGCAAACATGTCTTCGACCTACTTGCCGTCCATGGCACCACCGTAATTTCGATGGGTCAGGTGTTGTAGCTGCTTCCATGCGACACAACGGATGAAAGATGTGCTGGTATGGAGCCGGCTACATTGCCAGCATAAGCTAGTTACTGCAGTCGTGGACACTGCTACTGAGGCTGCAAATGCAGGCAGCTGGAACTAGCTTTTCTGGCCATGGCATGGCAGAGTTGTCAGCATGTCAGAAGGCTATGCGGCTATGCCTCCACGACAACAGGCCCGGGCTGTCGTGGGCACCGATCCGGACTTTAGGTTTGGTCCGGATTGCGAACGTAGGCGATGACGCTAGGGCTGGATGCGCGTTTGGGATCTTGGAGTCGCGTCCCGAACGAATCAGCTCCGACACGGAAAGAAGCTGCGTGTAGGCCAAGCTCGAAGCCTCGAAGCCTCGAAGCCTCGAAGCCTCGAAGCCTCGAAGCCTCGAAGCCTCGAAGCCTCGAAGCCTCGAAGCACAAGAAGCACGCCCTGGTGTCTTCAACTTTTGAGGCGCGTTCTGCGAGCCAGAGCTTGCCGATCTGGCAGCTGGAGCTGCAGAGGTGCGTCTTGCTTTTCGAGGTAGATTTTGAGATGACACTCCCCCGATGCGTGCTCGAAAGAGGCTGCGTGGCACCCCCCTACCCCATCTCCCAATATGGGGCAGTCGGACGTTGGAGTCCGTGCAAGTTCTCCGGAGATGAGATGAATTTCAGCTCAACCGCCCTTTAAAGGTTCTGATGGTGCATGTTGGGACTGATGGCGCAGGAGTCAACCCCAAACTCTCAGCTCCCAGGTTTTTCGACACTTGGGCACAAGGCGAGAAGCCAAGCATCAAGTTTTGCACGGCGGTGGCCACTCGGACAGCAGCAAAACGTACCCCAAAAACATGCGAAGCTCGGAGACATGGTTCTTTGAACATTGCAGGGCTGTGAGGGTCGGTGTTGCGCGCGTGTTGTGTGTGTGTGTGTGTGTGTGTGTGTGTGTGTGTGTGTGTGTTTGTGTGTGAGTTTAGGGTTTGGGGTTTAGGGTTAGGGTTTAGGGTTTAGGGTTCAGGGTTCAGGGTTTAGGTTTAGGGCCGTTAAGCTTCCTGAGGCAGCGGCCATGGGACGAGGCAAAGCTGCCGAGGCCGCCTGGGATTTTGTGCGGGCCCTGCAGAGACGGAGCCTGGCCCCTTGGCCACGCCTCGAAAGCTGGATTGGGGTTTAGGCATGTTTAGAGTTTGGGATGTTATCGGGGGTTTGGGGTTCATGTGGGGTAGTTTAGGGACTTGGACTTGCGTTGAGGGGGACGTCGCCACATGCTTCGATTTCCTGCATGCCGCAAGCATGTTCTGACTGTCAGCATTAACAGTATTTAACAACCTGCGCCGTTTCAACACTGTTAGTGGCGGAGCAACAGTCGGGGTCTCGTGCGTAAACTCCGCCTTGCGATTGCAGTTCCGCCTTGTAGCTGTTTGTCAACGATGGTTACCTTAGACCCTGAAAACCCTAAACCCTAAAAACCCTAAACCCATGAGTCCCCAAGGACTTGGACACCTTCTTCTGCAACAGCATCTTGCAAGCCTGCTCCTCGACCAGCCGCTGGGAGCTGCCCACTTTGCTCTTGGCGGAGATGCTGGAGACAGGCACGACCGACTGAAACAGCACTTTTCAATCTGGAGGTGCTGTTGCTAGTGTTTTTTTTCTTTGTTGGGAGGGGGGATTGGTGGTGGTTCTTCGTGGACATGGAAAATGGCACATTCTCGAGTCTGGAATACACGTACTTAGTAAAAATACTGTAGAACATGCATAGGGGCAACTGTACTGTCAAGTCAGTCTTGGCGGGAAGAATGGGATAGAACCAAACCGGAATTCTCGAAGAGTTTAGGATCTGGCGGGGGCCGCGTCTACTGATCCCCCAGATAGTCAAACCCTGTCGACCGCAGCGTGTGGTCGCCACCTTCGAAACGGGTCATCCAATCGTCGGTTTTCTCAAAGTGACAGACCCTCTCGGTGGATCTCCGTGGACGCGTGGCGAATCGTTGAAGCTGGTCATCTTTGGGCCCAAAAGTGGCCCTCTCGGCCTGGCATATGGTTGTCCTCGAAACTGTCATTTTGGCACCCTCTCGGGCCTTGCGTGTTGTGTTGGCCTCGACCTCCGGCGTTAACGCTCAGTTTTGAATCATAGGAACTGAATGCAGTCAGAAGCATCGAGCATCGTGTGACATCAAGCATCAGCAACGCAGTCTGTGGCAAAACCTTGTGCAAGCCTTTTTGTACAAAATCTCATCTCAACATTTCGGAAAAGTTCTGGGTCCATTTCGCAAAATCGGAGAAGTTCATTTCGCAAAAGTTCAACCTGAAGCAGCCGTGCGAACTTGCATCTCACGTTCGCGCTCGGACCTGCGGGCCTGCCGGAGGTCCTTGGCCGGACCCCGCCAGCTGGGGCATCACCATGAGTGCTTGCTCCAGGAGTTTGCCTGGCCGTCGATTTAAAGCTTCGACACTGGAGACTATTAAAGTTAAGGCTGTTAAGGCATGAGTACATTGCTGAGATGTATGATCCCGTGCGCGTGTGGTGGGGGTATTTGAGTCTTCGAAGTGTCCTTGTGTCCTCATGCCTGACAGCCGGGGAATCGTTGCGGCGTACCGGGCCTCTATCGCAGGAGCGCAAGCTGGCAACAAGCGCTCGCGCTGATGAATGAGATGGGCCGGACACGTAGCCAACCCAACGTTTTTGCCTCTTGGCTGCACGGTTCTAAAGGCAAAAGCCACGTCCTTGACAATGACTGCAGCACGCTGCAATGACGGCGATCGTGACCGCAGGAGCAGCACACTGTTTGTCCCCTTGAACCTCCAGCCCGAATCCTCCAAGAAAGGCAGGAACTCTGAGCCCCTAAGCCTGAACCCATCTGAACCCTGTTTAAGGTGTATGGAGCTGCGCTCGCTTCTTGTGCAAATGGGCAGTGGGAGAGAGCGTTGGAGCTCCTGTCGGACATGCGAGGTTCGGAGGGTTTGAGGGGCCTCTGTGCATCCGCTTCATGAAGCCCTAGACTTTTGTGCAGACTTTCAAGCCTTAAAAGTTAGCAGAGAATTGTCGAAGGAGGTTTCAATCTGTTGGGACCCGACGTTGTGAAGGCATGGTTTGAGAATTGTCGAGCCCGTTTCCTCACGACTTTGCACAGGTGCAAAGGTCTTGCCGAATGTCGTCAGCTGCAGCTCCGCGATCAGCGCATGCGAAGGAGGCGCACAGTGTCTTGGCGATGATGCAGATGGACAGCAGCCCTGCTAGCATCACACTTACAACCCGGCATCCTTCACAGGCAGCATCGCATCTTGAAGTGCGCCATAGACGGTTATTCGCATAGATTTTTTGATGCTGGCCAAATTCGCTCAGACTTGAGTAGCTTAGACGAGCGGTCATGGAGAAAGGTGCGTGAGGAATGTAGAAGCGCATATACCCGTATGTCGCCGAAGACAAGGGTTAGACAAATTCATGCGAACTGTGCAGATGTATCGAGTGTGCAGCTGTGAGCAGCAACCAGCCGATTTTGCCGGAAGCGGGCAGCTGACAGGTGGATGTTTGCTCTGGACATCTTGCGAAGCATGCGCCGTGCAACTTGGCACGCAGATAGAGAGCAAGAGTCGCAGGTTTGCCAAGATGCTGTGTTAGGCGTCCCGGGCTCCTGGATCCTCAGCTGAGCCTCTAGGTCTCCAGGTCATGGGATTGCTGAGGATGCATTGCTCCCTGACCTGATCGCCTTCAGTGCGAGCATGAACGTTTGTGCCCGCGCTGGACACTGGCAAGAAGCCATTCAGCTTCTGGCGGAGATGAAAGCCGAACCTTGTCTGCAGGCAAAACACTGTTACAGCCATAAGCGAGTATTGGTCGAATATACCTTCTTGTATAGACCCACACCAGTACTCGAATGCCCATTCCCCCTGCCGTACGCTTCGTGATTTCGTTTCGCGATTTTCGCTCTCCATTTGCAGAGAGAGTGCTCCGCCCCTCTGTTCTGAGCACCCTAAAACCCCACGGACCTGGCCGAGGTACAAATGCAGCCCAACACCGTCAGCCGCAGGCTTAGAGGGGTTTGCTTCTGGGAGCTCCCAGACAGGCCCTTTTGATCCCCGGCCCCCCGCATTCCTGAACTCAGGTTACAACTCAGCAATGGATGCATGCACGCAGACATCAGAAGGATGGGCATCTCTGCCGCAAGAGGCCCTTCTCTCTACACAGTGCTAACCGAACGTGCTCGTCCCATCTCGTCCCCCCCCCCCACCCCCGCCGCGCAAAAATTTGGAGGCCGGTGCAATCACACTTGGGCACTCTAGACGGCTCGTAGTAAACCCAACAAGAAACACCCATAACAAAACACTTTGGGGGGTAAAAGCAGGCTCCTCCTTTTTGGGGGCCCTCTTACGAGACCGGCATGTGGTCTTGTCTTAGTATGGCTCTAGTTGAGCGGCGCACCCCATCAAACAGCGTGACTCTTGCGGGCGCAAAGTGTCTCCTCTGCACTTAGGGGGTTTTCCGAAAACAAGGATACCCTTTTGGGGGGTTCCTTTAAGGGGATTCTATTCTATTTGGGGTATTAAAGGGGGACCCCTATTTTGGGAAATACCTTGTCTGCCTTTGTGCACTGAGGCAAAGGTGCTGCAGCTCTTGGGTGACATGCATCAAGAGCAAGTGCATCTGCAGACGGACACCTGGTTCATGATGTAAAGGCTGCGCACTCTTCGAGATACTCTTTGCGCCTTTTCGCCATGTGCCCTCACCTGCTCTGAGGAAACTTGCTGCAGTGCCATTCGAGCATGTGGACTGGCAGGACCCGTGTCACCTTCCCCTGAAACCGGCTGAGAGGATGCCGATTTCCAGTGCTTAGAGGCCTAGTTGAGATAGGCGACACGCAGCATTGATTGGTGCGGCTCTGGCACAGGATGTTGGGCGACAGCATTGCTGTTATGGGAGCAGCTGTGGCAGAGCCCCCTCGAGGTGGACTGCTCATTGACTTGCTTTTGCAATGCTCCAGGCTTTGCTGGCACTTCACTTGGCAGGCAGCAACTGGAGGTGAGCTTGAATGGAGAGAATATCAGCATGCCAGTTTGAGGTTGACGCCATCGCATTGGGAGCGATTCTCTCCGCTTGCCGCTGGGACGTGGCCTTGTCGCTGCTTCGCGAAGCGGTGGCCGATCAGCTTCGGATTGGGCCTCAGTTCAATGCTTCAATGCGGCATGGGTAGGGGCTTGCAACGATAAGTTGCGATTTGGGCAGGCGCGACGGCAACCGCAAGACATCGCAAGGCCCTTGTCCTCAAGCCGCCAATGTCCCGAGGCCAGACGCCATCCATTTCGCCCAGTCCATTGTTGTGTCTGGGCTGCCCTTGTTTGCTTCTGAATGCTGCAGATGATATGCTGCGCACAAAATCGTGAACCCCAAAAGGCACCCAAAACCCAAAAAGCACCCCAAACCTGGAAGCATCTTGAAGCTTGAGCCCTACATGGGTGACCACCTGGTGGACACGGGTGACACCCGCAAAACCGAGCATTCATGGATACCGGAACATGTTGACGACTGTGTCCGTGCTCAGGCATGCGAGCAAGCTGGCCGCTTTCAAATTGAGACTTCCTTGCTCGATCAGCTGGCAGATGAGGCGCGGCAGGATTGACAGTGTGGTCTAACATAACCTTTGCTAGTAACTGCTAGTATCTTCAAGAGCTCTTCACAAACATAGCCGGCATCCGCATGAGATGGCGCTGCATTCGTTGAATTTGTCAGGGGCGACGCTGGGTGGAAGTTTGCTTTCATCTGCAGCATGGGAAAATCAAAGCTAGCCCCTTCTTGCACATTTCAACCCGGTCAACACGAGTGGAACGCAGTCAGTCTGATTACACTCAATGCCGCTGCATAGCCCAGAATACACAAAACTGCTTCTCGGCTCGAAGACTCCGTTCTCTTGCAGGGAGCATGGAAGACTGACCGAGTACTTTGTTGGTGAGTTGCGGATACTTTAGGGGTTAAGCTCCTGCAGAGGTCCGACTTCCGACTTCCGACATGCTACCAACACCATAGCTCGCAATGGGCGGTGGGTTGACTGTAGTCCCGCCGCCTTTGCTTGACCCAAGGGCTTAGAATGCGGCAAAGTGCATTGTGCCGATGCTTGTCCCGGCGGCCGGGGCGCTTGGGCCTGTGGGTCCCTCGGCTCTTATGTTAACCTTTGTGTTATCGTTAGTTCTCAGTGCCCCCGTGAAAACTAGTACATCTGGCTGGCTCGGGCGCGGCACACCTTCCATCAGTCGGCATCGGGATCAAAAAACAATGGTCCAACACAAGGTCAAATTGAGAACCCAAAAATGGTCCGCAGAGGTACTCGTATTCAAACTTTCTTGCAGCACCGCAGAGCGGGTAGGGAGCTGAGGGTGCTACAGTTTGTTACCGTTCTTGTTACTGTTGACCATGACAATCCAGCCAGCTCACCGAAACCCGTCTCGTGTACCGCCCTGTGGTGGATCCCGCGACCGCCCCGCACCCCGAAGTCTTCCGTCGAACACCGTCGCGTGCTCGGGTCTTTTCCGTGGAGTGGTCGGCCACGTCTTCTTCCGCCTTTGCTTGCCGCGCGCCCGCGTATCGCGACCCGCCCCTTTGAAACCCTAACGGAGAACCCAACTCCCGAGGGGCTTTTGGGATTAAAAGCAAGGATCAATGAAACAGTAAGGATCGAAAACGTCGTAGTTGTTCTCGTAGTGTCGTCTACTAGTCGTAGCAGTTGTAGTAGTCGAAAGCCGTAGTAGTCGTCGTCGCAGTCGTCGTAGTAGTCGTAGTAGTCGTAGTAGTCGTAGTAGTCGTAGTAGTCGTAGTAGTCGTAGTAAGTCGTAGTAAGTCGTAGTAGTCGTAGTAGTCGTAGTAGTCGTAGTTGTCGGAGTAGTCCTAGTAGTAGCAGTAGTAGTAGTAGTAGTAGTAGTAGTAGTAGTAGTAGTAGTAGTAGTAGTAGTAGTAGTAGTAGTAGTAGTAGTAGTAGTAGTAGTAGTAGTAGTAGTAGTAGTTAGTAGTAGTAGTAGTAGTAGTAGTAGTAGTAGTAGTAGTAGTAGTAGTAGTAGTAGTAGTAGTAGTAGTAGTAGTAGTAGTAGTAGTAGTAGTAGTAGTAGTAGTAGTAGTAGTAGTAGTAGTAGTAGTAGTAGTAGTAGTAGTAGTAGTAGTAGTAGTAGTAGTAGTAGTAGTAGTAGTAGTAGTAGTAGTAGTAGTAGTGGTAGTAGTAGTAGTAGTAGTAGTAGTAGTAGTAGTAGTAGTGGTAGGTGGTAGTAGTGGTAGTACTACGACTACTACGACGACTACGACTGCGATTGTGACTGCGACCGCGACTACGACGACGACGACTGCTACTATGAATACTCATCCTACTATGAGCACTTTGACTAGTGCGAGTGCTATGCGTACTATGAGCACTATGAGCACTTCAGTATAGTACTATTCTTGTTACCTCTTTATCCTTGTTTTTTGATCCGCTTGTTACCTTTATCAATGATCCGTTTTTTTGGCGTCGCCCGCTTCTCCATCAGCCCCATGTCATCCGACTGGCTGAGGTTCGCCTCTGCGGCGGGTTTGCAGAGGCTCCTGTGTAGCGGCTGAGCGTCCGGGCTTGTGGTTCAAGGGGCTTCGCATGGCTTCGCATGTTTATTCAGGCTGTTTGGAGATTGCACCTCATGCCCTTCCGCGCCTCTAGGCCCCGATGGATGATTGCCGCAGCAAATTGGCTTGAGACTTTTTTCAAAGACGTAAACAAGAGAGTGCCCACACCACATGGAGTGCAACGTTCGGCAACAGTAGTGGACGCAGATTAGACAGTCCTGCCGGTGGCGGGGTTTGTGTGGGCCAATCGCAGCACGATTCACCAACGCAAATATATGCGTTCACTGCGCAACCAACTAGATATTTTTCTTGAATCGGGACCATCATGGTGGCGTGGCCGTTCCTCGGCAGATGGACATGGCTGCTGGTCCTGTCAGGCACGACCCAAGTCTTGGTGGTTGGTGCAGCTTGCATGACTCGAACACGGACTGATCACAGAATGTGCAGATAGCAGTAGCGTTGGTGCGTACAGCATACAGTATACAGTATACAGTGTACAGTATACAGTATGCAGTATGCAGTATACAGTATGCAGTATGCAGTATGCAGTATGCAGTATACAGTATGTAGTATACAGTATACAGTATACAGTATACAGTATACAGTATACAGCATACACTATACAGTATACAGTAAGCGCATGGGAAGAGGTGAAAAAGGTCTTTCAATGTTCGTCGTGCAAGCTTGTTAGCACTCGTATGGCGGTCGCAGCTGAACAGGAGATCTTCTCGTTAGAGCTGTATTCAGAGTGAAAGCTGCTGTTGCTTTAAAGGGTATCAAGCTGATGAAAGCTAATGACAAGCACGTCAGGTGCACAGGTGCCAGAGCAAGAGCAGAGAATCGTTCTGCCTCTTGTGGAAGTCCCATCAACCCACACCATTCTTGGCCGTCGCTTGAACATACCCCCGGATTCACATCCAAATGCGCTTGGCAACTATGCAGCTCGGCCTTAGACAAAACATTTTCATCCTACTTTCAACCTGCCACGCAAATCGATGCCATGTCCCACTTTGGATGTCAAGGCTTCAGGGTCGTTTGTTGTGAGCAGATAGGCTTGTTGTGTTGATGTCTTGTTATCTCGCCTTTTCCGTTTTTGGCTTAGCATGGAGAGTGCCAGTGAGAAAGCAGTGTGCGCGAAAGCAGCGTGTCTGACTGAGCTCAGGACAATGTTCAGTACCATGTGGATATCGAGGTCGGTGTGGGCTGTGTCGGCAAGACCCGGCAAAAGTTCCAGGTCGTGCCTGACACCGGCAGCTCAGACACTCCCTTCTGATGTATGATCAGATGCGATTTGGTGATGGGGTGCGTGTTGTTGGGTCTGGGAGTTGGAGTCACAAGCTGTTGTGGACCTGTGTTATGGTTGGCAAGAATCAGCCAAGGACTTGTGGGTTCCGGCGGCGAACTGCACGAAGTGCAGAGCCGGCACTGCCAAGTTCGACATCAGCCAGTCCTGCAATGCAGTCCAAGTCGGCAACCGGATAACATTCCGGTACGGTGATGGCACCGTGGCCACTGGAGGCTCATTCTACGATGCCGTGAAGATTGGGGACCTCGAGGTCGCCAAACAGCTTTTGATCCAGGTCGATACCATGGAGTCTGACTCAGATCGCGAAGAGGAATTTTTTTCTGTCGTGGCTTATGAGGTTTAGAGCTGCGTATCAGGACCTTTCATTCCCTTTTCACTCCTCACCTGGATAGGACATGGCCGTCTTTTGACAACTTAGGACACACACATGAAGTCTGATGGTATCCTTGGCCTTGCCCATCATTACGCCTCAGACCGCGGCTTGCGCGGAGAGACCTTCATGTCCACTCTGTTTCGGGAGCATCCCCTTCTCCCAGCACAGTTCTCCTTCTACTTGACTGGCCGTGGCAATGGTGGTGAAAGATCGCAGCTGGTCTTTGGAAATCCAGACTTGCAACACCATTCCAAGGAGACAGAGTTTCACTACGGCAAGGGAGATTACATGTCCACAACGGAGCTGTGGCTGACCAGCGTGTGGTCTATCGGCTGGAGTGGAACGGGCGTTGATGTGACCTTCCCAGACCGTGGCACTTTGGGAGCTCCGGCACTGATCGATTCAGGGTCATCACTGCTGGTCATCGAGCCTGGCGTCTACGACCGACTTATCAGCGAGCTGAAATGGAGGTTTACAAATTGTCATGACCTACCAGAACAACAGATCATGAGTTGCGACTGCCCACCGGCGAACGACTTGAGTCGCATTCCACAACTAGTTATCAATGTAATCGATGAGCACAACCAACAGTTTCCTCTTTGCATGTCACCAGATGAGTATATCCTAGAGTCAGTGGATCCTATAGATGGGCGGACATCCTGCGTGCCCTCGATTCAACGCGGGTCTCCCAGCCAGCCAGTCCCATTAATTTTCGGCATGACGTTCATGAGGGCCTTCTACACAACTTTCGACCTCAAGAAAGGCCGGATCGGCTTCGCCCGGAGCAACATGTCACCGCTTCCAGGGAATGCAAAGTGCTCTGCAGACGCACAGCCATTGCTTCGGCGCAGCATTTGGTTCGCCTCATTGCTGGTGGCAGTCGGTTCGATGATCTTCGCGTGCTATGTCTTCATGGTGCCCGCGGGTCGCATTGATATTTCACGGACGCGCAGCCGGGAAGCCCAAGAAGGGCTCGGGGTCCCTCCAGCATCCGGCATCTGACGCGTTTGACTCACTTTGGGCCTGTGTGGGCCTTTGCACATGAGGCGAGCTGCTGAGAAGACTAGGGACGAAGCAAGCTGCCACAATGCCACAACAATGCTGCCCTGCAGCTACAATTTCGATGATCAAAGTTTTCCAGTGCAGTCGTCCGCTCATACTTCATCGTGCAGCCGGTAGCTTTCGCCCGAACCTCCTGCTGATTAAACTTGTGAATCTTGCCATGGAGCGATGGGCAACGGAGTTTCACTCAAGGGTCGAGATGACTTCAGAATCGGAGAGCTGCAAATTGAAAACAAAAGAAGGCTCAGCACAAAAAAGTAGACAGGAACACTCTGGAAAGCGCCGCATCTGAACATGCGCCAAGCAAAACGCCAGCAGGGACTGGAGGCACTTGCATCATACCGTGCGTCTAGCAGTGATTCGCCCAATAAGATGACAGGAAGTGCGCCTGTACTCCTGCTGCTGGCGGTAGTGAGCCTTGCTAACGATGAGCCCCGCTGCCTACAGTTTGCACTCAATATAAGAGTTTTACACCCATTGGTGTGCCGCCATGTGCCGCCCCCCTAACATTACGCATACAAAACAGCAAGGCGCAGACTTGAATGTTAGGGTTGATGTGGCTCTTCAGCCAGGACGTTTGGTGTTTGCTTAGACTTGAAAAGCGGCTGCAAGTGGGAAGCTGCGAATGGTTTAGGTTTAGTTTCTGAACGTGTAGACTCGTAGCCTAACCCTAAACACCCCAAAACGGGCAGATCCCCCGACACTTGCAAGCTGCGACAGGTGAGCCAAGAGATGGGCTGCATGCACTTGGGCATGCAAGGCCGCAGGGAACTTCGAGTCGATCACAACGAGTCATTTGCTCGATCGACTGTCTTCGAAGTAGGGCTTCCTATTGCATCGCGTTCTGGGTCACGGTTTGTACGAGCGTGTTCCCGGATCGCGGCTTCCGTAAGCATCCTTCTGGAATCGCGTGCTTTGGATAGCTGTTGAGAGCAACACATCACCAAAAAGCCCATTGTGTTAACAGCTAGTTGCCGCTGCTTTTGCTTGTCCTGGGGTAGCTGCAAGCCGGTTTATATGTCACCTACGTAGCGTTTTTAGGGTACGTACGGTTTATAGGGCAATGTGTACATTTTGAGTTTCGGGAGTATATAGGCTTCGAAAGCCTCTTCAAGATGTATGGTGTGTATGGCGTGCGTGAATCAGCAAGAATAACATATGGACAAGGAGAGGCGCAGGAGCGCCAGGAACAACATAAGTAAGATCAAAAGTGTAAAGCAAAGCACCCTCGCATATGACGTGAAGACTAAGACGCACCGTAGGTCACCGTAGTAGACGAAGAGACACCAAGAAGCAAAACGAGAGCACAGGAAGCCAAGGTGCCCCAATAAGCAAGATTTCGTTCGAGTTTGAAAGAGCTTTTTTGCAACTTGTGGGCTTGGAGAAGCGAATGAATTGCTGCCCGGGCTCGGCTGCATCGAGTGATTCGAGGCAGTGGGTGGAGACGGCCGCAGCCCTTACACCGTAGCTACTTGCCCAAAGTTACGAATGTGCGGGCTTGTTTGATCCACGGCCACGATGCTACCGATGACGTTGCGTTCCCCCAAAGCTCTGGTAACTCGGGTTCTAGCATGCTTCCATGGGGCCCCTGAGTTCCGAGGGTTGCTTGGGCCCTCCAGGGAGTTTGCAAGGGGGTCCCCGTGGTTTTAAAGAGCACTGCTTGAATATGATCCCATTGAGCCTGTGCACCTCCCAGCTTGCGCAAGTTCTTGTAAGGCCTAAACCCTAAACCCTAAACCCTAAACCCTAAACCCCAAACCCTAAACCCTAAACCCTAAACCCCAAACCCTAAACCCCAAACCCTAAACTTTCTGGGAAGGCCGAGGCCCTCTTGAGATGCCCTGTCGCTGGAGGCTTGAAGGGATTCAGTGTAGGGCACAATTCACAGGCGAAAGAGGGGGTTACCCTTCTTGGTACCCTCTTTTGGTACCCTTTTTGGGGTCCTTAATATATATATATATATATATATTCTCTAACGGAATCCTGTTATTTGTGGTCTATTCTAGGGTCCCCTATTTCTAAAAAACCCCGCATTGTTCAAGCTTTGCAAAGCGCCCTCGTGCAGGCTGCCAGCAGCTCTGGCCAGCGTTGAAGCCGTGCTGCTTCCAACATGGCATCAAGAAAAGATGTGAGCCATCTGGGGGGCCCTTGGCCGAGCTTTGATACTTCCGAATGCTCTTGAAAGTCTGGAAAGCAAGAGACTAGAACTGAATACGTTTACTACTCAAGTCCTTTCAAGTCGCACCAGAGTCCGTTCGAGCCTCTGCAAATGACCTCGTGCTTCCAAAAGGTGCTAAAGATTGAATGACGATGCGATATGGGATGCCGTGGTTCCCTTCTCTCGCGCAGCTGGCTTCTGAAAGCCCTACCCAAAAGCAGCCGCCCGTATGAGCCTTCTGGCGTGTTTGGTCAACTGCGCCGAGACGGTTCCAAATTTTTTCTCCGAGCTGCGATTGATTTGCGTACCGTGGAACAAGATCGAATCGCTAGATCGAAGGTGCTTGTACACTCAATTATGCTCCTGTGGTCTTGGCTGTGGGAATGGGAGCGTGTTCAAGCGTGGTCCCCCCCCCCCCCCCGCCCCCCCCAGTGGCCACCATCGTGCTCTCAACGGCCGCAGCGCGTACGATACGATCGCGCACATTGCTGTCACGTAATAATGGTGGGATGCGGAAAGCCAGCGGCGCACCATACACCAGGCCATGCGAAAAGAAAGATGATTTGGCCTCGAAACTCTACGCCCTTGGCCATCAGGACGCTTTTGACGACGTGTACCTTGTCGCTGAACCAGCGCGTGCATTAGAGGCACTCGGCGTTGCCACGCCCTCCCTTGAAAAGCATGGTGGCTGCAGTTGCCAATCTCGGGAAGACTTGAGCTTGCAACCGCGTTGGGGGCTCCTCGAATCGCCGAGTTGGAGCAGGCGTGTGAAGGCGGCCTGGGCGCGGCGATGCTCCTCCAGCCACGGAGCCAGCCGCCATCGGGCATCCGCTTTGGTCCGCTTTTCGTCAGCATGTAAAACACGACATGCATCTCCGCCGACTGTCATAGCTAATCTTTTCTCCAGCAATCCTCAGAGCCAGTGATGAAGGTGAGGAAGCAATGCTTCCTCGTATCTCCGGACTCTGAGCTAATGCACCTTTTGGTTGCTTCAGCGGGCCCGGCGCAGGAGGATCAGGCACACGCGGCAATCTACCTGCCGATTTTGTCGTGATGCGCTGAGTGGAAACGAGCCCGTTTTTGGAATTGGCCATGTGCATGCCGACTGCACGTGAACTGCGCAGTGCAACTGCGCCTGAATCAGAGATGCCCTGCGTGCCCGCAGTGTAGTTGCGCATGGCCCGGCGTAAATGCTGACAACCAACTTGAGATGACGTGCCGGGAAAGTGGCGTGCCAATTGAGCGTGCTTGCGCCAGTGCCCGCTGAACCTCTTGATCTTAGCAGGGAGCCGTCGAGTGACGTGGCTCCGCAGCAAATGTTTGAGCCCGATGTCCAAGGATGTCGTCGGCTTGTTGGTGGGATGGGTGACTGTTGTGGTCGCACTTTTGGCCAGGACAATGCCATAGTGCGAAATTTGTGTGATATGCATCACGTCGCATGGGACCCAGTGTCGCTTGCGTATTGACTTCGCGCACGGAACGTTTCCTTGGATGTGTGGTCTTTCAGGCACCTTGCCCATCGAGAATCCGTAAGAGAATGAGCACGGTGCCAATGCGATCAATGCGACCACTTACTTCTCCGGATGGCCGCCACTCGTCAATGCTGAGTCGACGAACTCTTTCTAAAATTGCCCATTGCTTCTGCAAGCCAAGCAGCTTTCACAATGGATCGATGTCGTCGAGCTGCTGGAGGCCAAAGGGCACACGCCTGCAGAGGCAGCCCTCACACGTTGCTCGGCTTGAGTCAGGGCTGCAGGGGCCAGCACCGATTGGTGCGGATGGGGTAGCGACCGACGGCAGTGACCTCGTCGACATGCGAATGCCCCGATCCAATTCAAATTGAGGCCATCGTCACCAAGATACTGTACGACCATATGGTGTGATAATGAGCTTCTGGGCCGTTCATCCAAACACTCACATTCATTGACAGACAAAGTTTTAAAAATGGAATATGGTGCCCACAAAAAGGGAAGGAAAATGTGAGTTCTCGTTATCACTATAAGGACAAAGGACGTTTCCATTATATTCATGTCAATTCACGGGCTAATTGAATACGTCCATTTTTCGCCCATGAATGAACAATCTTACTAGAATTATTCTGTGAGGCGATCAGAGTGGAAGTCGAGAGCTGACGCGAAAGGCCCCCACAGCGTTGGAGCAAGGCCTCCTGCACCAGGTAACCATCCGGCTTCGAGGTTGGGCCCGATGCCGCAGTAGTCAGCCACGGCTTGGGTGGCTCCAGGGCCGCGTGCGCACGGTTCGGGGCCGTGACGATGTACAAATCGTCCAGGAAACCCATCAAGGTGTCCCCATCGTGCAGGCCGGAAACCGCACGCTGCAGAGCGTCGTGCTGCCGCAACGCATACAGCACTGGGGCCAAGAAAGCTGCCCGCGACATGGAGTGCGACCGTCAAGTGACCAGGACCGCATCACTGCCCTCGGCGAGGGCGACCCGCACGCGAGCTGAGAGTGCATCCGTGCCTGTTCGAGCTTGCATGCGCAAACTGGTAAGGGCGTGTGGCTTGTCAAACACGGTTGCCCACAGCTTGGCCAGCGTGCGTTTCCCAGGCGGCGAAAGGCGTGACCTGGGGCAATGCCCCGCGCTCCGCCAGCGGTTTGCGCAAAGCCGTGATGAAGCGGGCCATGGCAAGTGCTGTCGGGATCTTTGCAGGGACAGGGGCGCGTGCCAGCAGGGTGGCGGCATCAGCGAGCAACTCCATAGCTTCACCATCCTGAGTAGAAGCTTGAAGTGCTCAGCCTGCATACTCGACAAGCCCGCGGC